AAAAAAACAACCTGGAATACAGAATCTAAAAGTTACCGTAATTAAGAGAATGAATCAAAACATAGGAATAAAAATGTGGTTAGTAACCATTATGCAGGGAATACCACCAAAACAAGGGGCACGGGACACTGTTTTTGGTGTCAGTTGATTACAGGTGAACAAGGGTAACTCTGGGTGTTAAAAGTGTTTTTACTGCATGAGAAGGGAATTTTCTTCTTTTCAAATGGACAGATACCGAGCTAACGTGTTCTTGGTTGCGTTTGGCTCTCTCAATCTCAGGAGTGACAGGGGTGGGGGTCCCCATCCCCACGTTGTCTTTGTACACCACCTATATGGTAACACAGCAGTGTAAAAAAGTATAAAACACAGATCGTATCTGAGGGATGCAGGTTAGCACAGTTAATTTGTATGGCCACTACGTCCACTAGAAAGAGGGAAAAATTGGGAATTGTAAATCAGGTAACAATTGTGATCAATCCTGGGGAATGCTTCCAAGCTTCTGAAAGGTCCTGGGGATGCTTTGACACAGCAATAAAGCATTAGAAGAATGGAAGTGAGCAAACAGAGGAAGCAGTAATTTTTATGAAAATAAAAATCAGAAAAATAAAGGTTTTAAAGGATGGGAAGCATTAAGTGTTACGATTATTAGAAAAACGTTTTAAAACTTTTGGATAAAAATATAAGAAAGACTGAATTTGAACAGCACAAAGGGAGCATCACTAAGTTAATTCCAGAGATCAGAACAATTGCAGGTGTTACAAAGTGCTTCTAAAATGAAGTTACAGGGAACATGTGTGGAATCAGGGAAGAGTACCGAGCTAAAGATCTCCTGGTTGCGTTTGACCCTCTCCATCTCAGGGGTCACAGGCACTGGGGTTCCAATTCCCAGCCCCTCTCTGTACAACACCTGTGTGGCAACAGGGAGGTAGGGTTTGTTTGGTTTGTGGGAAAGAAGGAGGATGGGGCAAGGAGAGAGAGAGAGAGGAAAGAAATTTAATACGGTGAAACCTGCAAATATGACAAACACAGTTCTGTCACAGCCTTGTTCAAAAGCTAGCAGGAAAAAGCCAATAAAATAATCAGCTAATGGCTGACGTTTCTGCAGTTCTGCTTCCTTCCACAAGGAAGTCAGTCTGCTTACTTAAACAAAAGATCTTAATGGTCAGCTTTCCCTCTAGGACTGCCCTCACAAGTATAAAAGAGAACAGCAATGATCACAGACGATTGAATGTAGCATCAAGTGTGACTACAGGGGCTTCTCTGAACTTTACTACAAATGTCGTCAGCTCAGGTCTGAACTTTGCATCTATCATGTCAGAGTCAGAATCAGGCCTAAGTCACTGCAATTGAAATAGGAATAAACAAGAAAGCTGTGAAGTAGGGCACTTCAAACTGTGCATGGTGCTTTGACTGGAATGTGCCAGAAGCAGAAGTAATTCTGGATAGAAATGCATTGCCACAGTCATTTCCCCTTGTCTGTGCAATTTTCTCCATTATTCGTATTACAGTGATAAAAGTTTTCTCACACAGACCTGCAGGACACAAGAAAGCATCCAACAAGCAAAAACACGCAGACACGCTCTGGCTTCATTAGTCTGCTTTGCTTCAGGAAGTGTTAAGAGTTCATTTTGTTTTAGCACTGCACCAGCATGGTGAGTCTGAAGAGCATTAGAAGGATCAGCTTTGCTATGGAGGAGTCACCCACCCTGTCACTGTGTCAATGGGAGGAAGAAATAAGGCACTGCTTAACTGATTTAAGTAAATGAGGGGTTGGATCTCACAGCTGGGATAATTTAATGGCAGTTATGCTAGACTGAGGGGAAAAAAAATACAATGTAAGGATACTGGTAAGTTTTAGTGACTTGATTAAGGAAAGGGTTGTTCAGTCACAACCAAATTGAAAGAGAAAATTAATATGGAGCAGTTAAAGGGATGGGATTTGCAGTCTCAGGGGTGGGGCTTGCTTTACTGGGCTATACCGAGCTAATGTTCTCCTGGTTGCGTTTGACTCTCTCCATCTCTGGAGTGACCGGGGTTGGGATGCCCATCCCTAAGCCCTCTTTGTATGACACCTATGAGGTACAAGAGAATTTGCAGACCAAAAAAAAACAACACCCAACCAACACAAGAACAAACGAAAACCAGCATTCAACATAGGCAAAACAATTACATCTCTCTATTCTGTGAGTTGTGTTTAGCGTTAGGGTCACTTTCTCATTAATTGCACACTTGTTCTAGAGGTGAATATTAAGGAAGTGGCTGATTATTCTGTAAATATGGGTACATATCCCAGGAGATAAAGGGTTAAGATAAAACAAGCACGGAGAGGAACACCAGATTTATAAAGGTATTTCACAGCTTATAAAGGTTTTGGTTCTTAAAAAGAAACGCATGTAAAGTTGTAAATCACTCCAAAAAGTTAAAGCACAAAAAAGGTGGAAGAATTGAGTTAAAAATATTGCCAGAGACAAGAAAGGAGTGCGGTGAGGTGAGATTTTAAATCATTGGCAAAAAAAGGAGTACGTGTTAGGATGTTACACAAAAATGATGTAACTTGTTCTTAAATACCGAGCTAATGTGTTCTTGATTGCGTCTGACTCTCTCTATTTCTGGAGTTACAGGTGTTGGGATACCTGTCCCCAGCTCCTCTTTGTACATGACCTGCAGAATACAAGCACCCAGAAAGATGAGCTGTGTCCCTTCCCCAGCATTGACAGAACACCTGGATAGGCACTTCCCCTGCTCAGCAGATAAATACAGTCTGGGACATCAACATGCACAGCACTGCTTTGACTGAGCGTGGATTTACGCAAAGTACCTGACGTCCACATTTAGGAGCTTCAACACAATGAAGTCAGTGGATTACTTCACTATAATAGGACACACATTTGATTACTCTGCTGCTAATCTGGCATAAAATATAGCTAGTCTTTCCTTTTGACCTTAGCTTAGAATAGTAACAGTACTACTTCTCAGGCAGTGAACACTTAGGGAGCCTTGTTTGTCAGCAAACAGCTGCACTTAGTTGTGTAATCCACTTCATTTGAATACCTACCTTTAGAAAATCAACACTTTGTTTCAAGTGAGAAACACCACTGAGCCTTAGTGCTCATATTTCCCTATTTCACAGAATGATAGAATGGCCTGGGTTGCAAAGGAGCACAGTGCTCACCCAGTTCCAACCCCTGCTGTGTGCAGGTCACCAACCAGCAGCCCAGGCTGCCCAGAGCCACATCCAGCCTGGCCTTGAATGCCTGCAGGGATGGGGCATCCACAGCCTCCTTGGGCAACCTGTTGCAGTGCATCACCACCCTCTGGGTGAAATTTATTTAATTTAATCTACAACTGTTGGACTATAGCATTTCCCATGACACAAAATGTACAGAAGATGCTTGGTCTAAAATCTAATCATGCAGGAATACATTACAAATGCACTAGCAGTCCTTAAAATTCATAAAAGATTGCAAACTGCATTTCACTACTTGCTGTCATTGAAACAAGGAATAATAATACAAAAATAAAGGATACACAGAAAGAGAGAACAGATGATGTAACTTGAAGGTTAGAAAAATGAAACAGTTTGAAAAACCAACTGCTATGCATTAGTGAGCTGTAAAAATCAGTACTATCACAAAAAGCATAAGAGAGAAACTACTTAACATTAGGAGTAGTAAATCATTAGACATTCATCCTATGGCACCTCCTCAGCATTGTATAGCAAACATCCAAGGTACCAACAATTACAAGACTATACTCTCCTTCAATACTGTATTGAGAGAGCAAAGTAAGGCTGCAGGAAACGATGGCTCAAAGTCAGGACAACTGGATTTGATTCTTAGAATCTACAATTAACTAAACATGGAGAAAGCAGATACTTTTTTCCATTTATAACCGCTGCTGGGTTCTTCGACTACAAAAAGAGGCTCCAATTTACTTCTTTCTCTCTAGCTGCTCCATTTTTTTGGAACAGTAAGATCTCCCCTGTGTATTTTTTTTTATTTTATTTCTGTGGTCACAGAAATAATGCAGGGAAGTGATACAGCTGTAACGATGGCTGCAAAATTCAACTTCCTGCTGCAGAAGAAGGGATGTAAGGGATCTGTTCTCCTTCCAACAACAACAACAACAAAATACCCATAAACACTACCAGAGGCTGCAAACTGAGCTCTGAGAAGTTATAGAGAGGTAAGTAGAAAATATTGGCCACTACCGAGCTGATGTGCTTCTGCGTCTCCTTGACACGTTTCACTTCTGGGAGATCAGGAATTGGAGTTCCTTTTCCAATGCTCTCCTTGTACTTAATCTACAAAGGCACAGACATTAGAAAAAATTAGAATTTATGTTAAAGCACAGTTGATGCGTGGTACAGGTAACAAACCGCATGAATAAAAAAAGCAGGGGGCACTTACATTGCACAGACTCTCTGAAATTAAATATATATGTGTGCATATATATATAAGTATATATAATAATCTAAAAATTTTAGCCTAATGGCCTTAAAATAGGCACCTGGATTCCTATGCAGATACATAAAGAGCATTATTCAAGGAGGTGGACAAGATCTCACTGGCTTCAACACGAGCAGAAAGCCGGTGTTCCAGCACTCCCACTGCCATTACAAGCAGCCTGCTGGGTGAGATTTCACTATGACTGGCACCCTCATCAAAAGGTTTTCTCAAGACTATTGTAAATGCCTTTGAGCAGATTCAATATGATCTGGAGTTAATTACATTACATTAAATTACATCAATATGATGTAGAATTCAGAATTTGTAAAGATCATCATTATTCAACAGAGCTGAGGGTCGCCATACAATAGTTTAGCAATTAAGTTTTGATATCAGTGCTATTTTCATTTCTACTTTAGTATAACCAAAACAGGACAACAGTATCTTATGAGAACATATTCAACACAATATACATGAAACAAGTGGCTGAAATGTTAGCAGCTCTTACACGAAAATCACGTCCAAATTTCTTTAGAAGCGTGTAAAAAACTCTCGAAAGAAAAGAATTACACACCATTATTCCAACATTAGAGTATTACAGTGTTTTAAATATGACAGTTTTACAAGACATGCTTTAGTAGGCTGCCTCTAACTTCCTCACAAAGGACAGGTCAGATGGGTGCACAGTGTGCTGGACTGGAATGTGGCTGAATGAGCAGTCCAGAGGTCTTTGATCAATGTCATGGGAGCCAGCTGGAGATCAGAGCACAAGGAGCGTGGCCCAGGGGTCCACAGTGGGGCCAGTGCTGTTTTACATTCATTAGTGGAGGCTGGGACAGAGGGCACTCCCAGCTAGCTGACAAATGGCACACAAGTGGGAGGAGCGGCTGAGAAACCCTGCAGTTGTGTTGGCATCTAGAGGGATGCTGACAGGCTGGAGAAAAGGGTTGACAGGAAACTCACGAAGTGCATGGGGAAACGTGAAGTCCTGCACCTGGGGAGGAATAGCAGCAGGCACCAGAACATGCTGGCTGGCTGATTGGGAAGCACCTCTGCAGAGAAAGGCCTTGGTGACCTGGTGCACAAGCTGACCGTGAGCAGCCATGCACCCTTGGGGCAAGGAAGGCCAACAGACCCTGGCCTGCACTAGGAAGAGCAGTGCCAGCAGGCGGAGGGAGGTGATCCTTCCCCTCAGCACTGGTGTGGTCACACCTGGAGTGCTGTGATCAGTTCTGGGCTCCCAGTACAAGAGGGACATGGAAAGATTCCAGCACAAGGCCACAGAGTTGATGAAGGGACCGGAACATATTTGATACAAGATGGGGCTTAGAGAGCTGGGACTCTTCAGCCAGTAGGACAGGAGACTTGGGAGGAACTTATCAATAGGTGTAAGAACCTGGAAGGAAAACAAGGGAGCAACTCTTCTCAGCAGTGCCCAGTGATGCGATGAGCAGTGATGGGCACAAGTTAAAAAATAGGAAATTCAATCTGAACGTAGCAAAATATTTTGTTAACTGTGAGGCTGGTCAGACACCAGAGCAGGTTTCTCAGAGAGACTGTTGGGTCCTTCTGAATATCTAAAGTCCTTTGAGGTATTAAAACTCAGAGCAGTGCAGGACAACCTGCCCTAGCTGAACTCAACTGAGCAAAGGAGCTGGAGTAGATGATGTCAAGAGGTGCCTTTCCACCCAAACAGTTACTTCAGTCTCTCATAAATAAAATGTGTTTGGGATGAGATTAAAAATATGACAAGTGCTTTCAGATTATAGAAATCGATTGTAAGTAACAAATTGAATATTAATCATTAGAAAGATTAAGTCACAAGAAGAGGCAAAACTTTTAGAAAGTAACCCTCAGCTGAATGGATTATTGCCAACAGTTAGCAACATTTAAAGAAGTGAGAGGGGAAAAGAACATTACTTCAAGTTGAATTAGCACCTGTAGAGTATTAAAAATCAATTGTTTTGTACCGAGCTAATTGCATCCTGGGTTCTCTTAACTCTCTGCATCTCTGGCGTCTTTTCAATAGTAGTTCCAGTTCCAATATCTTCTTTATATAAAATCTTAACATTCAGAATCAAGACAACAAGGTTAAGCATTCAAAACACAACATTATTTCTCCAAGACAGTGAATAAAGTTTCACGACAGTGATTTGCACACAACAGTGCAGGATGAAAGCAAACATGAAGGACCACCTGCAGTCACTGCCTTACTGCCTACCTGTCTTGTTTCCACCAAGTGCCATTTGTGCAAAAACAGGGCTGATCATTTATATTTGTAGTTATGCATTTTAAGGAGACTATCAAAACATTTTAGGAATGAATAACTAGAACAAGAACTAGTTTAGTTTGTGCTTCCAGTTCCAGTTTGTTTGAGGATGTTTCACACAAATTCCTTCCACCCACTAGGCTAATGGTACTGGTGGCAAAACAGCAGACAATAGGCACTTCATGGTAACACATGACATGTGAAACATCAGGCAGGCAGTTCACTTTCCACTGAAAGAAAAAAGTTGCAATACAGCAAGACTGCACTACTTACATGGCAACAGAACAAATGAAAGGTGGACACTGGAAACATATCAAGCACAGGGATGATAGTTCAGCTATATGACAGCTAAATACATGGAAAAGACTGCAATCAGAGAACTCCACAAGTGACAGTAGATAAAAAGGAGTACCTTAAATCAGCTAAATCTGGTTACAATAAAACTAACTTCTTTGGAAAAAAAACCTTACACACATTTCAGTGAAGAATGTAACTGTCTATGAGGAAGAGACTAAAATAATTATTGTATTAAACACATCACATTAAACCCTGGAAGGTCTTTTCCTTGGAATGAGGAATTGAAAACAGAAAAATAACTGTACCGAGCTGAAGTTCTTCTGGTTTTCCTTCACACGCAGCATTTCTGGTGTATCTTGTACAACTGTCACTTTTCCTTTACTGTTCTGTAGGTCCCACTGATACTGAAGCTGTAGAAAAAGTTGTAGTAAGAAGTCAAATGTTGACCTTATGCCACAAGAATTTACTCACAGAGCTTTCTCTGAAGCTAAGAAAAATATTTTCAAGTACACCTTATAAGGTGCTCATTTTAACATCGCCAACAGTGATATTAAGACACACAGTTACAACTATTCTGACTTAAATTTGTAACAGGAGATCAACTGCCTCCATCAAAAACCTTGAAAGGTGCCAGACTGAGGCAGAGTAGACCAGGAGGGATTCAGGTGTGGTATTTGGACCTTATTAAGTGACAAAAAAAGCTGTATATTTTTTTATTGTTTGACAGCAGCAATATTCTGTGCACACGTACCGTGCTGAAGTTCTTTTGATTCTCACGGACTCTCTGCATTTCTGGTGTGTCTGCTACAGGCACATAGTATGGCATGGTCTTTTCTGCCTCCTCCTTGTACTTTTTCTGATACAAAATACAAAACACATGCTATTAGTACGAAAGAACTAATAAACAGCCTGTCTCTACTTACTCTTGCATAGTGCCCATCTTTATGGAATTCTGAGCACTTCTGTTTCAGATGCACCTCTGTGTAGGATTCATTTTAAAGTTACCAAGGGATAGGAAAATTCAGCTACGTTTACTTAAAACAAAAAATAGCTTTGGGACTGCAAAACCAATAGAAATTACCGTTCCACTTCAGACAGCATTAAAATAAATTAATTTCAATATTTAATTGTCACCGTTCTACCACCATCAGCTTTTCTGGTGTATCTCCTGAATGCTGTGACAGGAGGTTATTTAGGTGCTCCTGATCAGTATCCACTCAAGGTTCCCACAAGAGCAGTGACTGTATTCCTTTATACTCAAGGTACCTGGCTTGAAAGGTTTTTGACTTGCTGGGCATGAATGATCTCTGGAGTATCGACAACACTGGTGTAGTTGGCCTTCTCCATTTCTGCCAACTGTTTGTATTTGATCTGTCAGGGAAAGCTCACATTTAGATGCATTCATCATATCTTAGCAATGACTTGCATTCCAACAAACAAACACACACACTGATTTTTTCCTTTAAAGACAGACAGCAGATAAATGAGTCACACACACAGACCTGGCTAGCAATGTCGGTGGCATTCTTTGCTCTCACAAAATCGGGTGTTTCCAAAGCCAGTTCTGATAGACCTTTTCCTTTGATTTCTAATTCCAAGGCTTTTTTGTACTCTTTCTGCAGATGAAGACAATAAAGAGATATTTTACTGATGTGAATGCTGTCCCCTTGGCAATTTCAGGTATTGTCATGATCACACCACTAAGCAGGACTACAACTTCTATAAGCTTAGAATTAAACATACACATGATGCCACCAGTGTGTACTTTATAACTTAAATATTGAGAACCAACAGTCCAGCTGAGATCCTCCAGTAAGGTCTAAAGGCTTGCTGTAAGAACCAAAATGCTGTTGTCAATCAGCATGTTCATCCTAGGGGTCTGTGTTAACAACTCGTATCAAATTAACACTGAAATGTTACTTTTTTCAGCTTCAATCTGCTGATATTAAAACCCTTAAAGTACAACCTAACTTTATCCTCTGAAAATAGTCACTATCCAGTGTTTATTTTAACAGTCCACCCTGTAAATAAATCAGGTGAAGTTTGCATTTCATTCTCTGCTGGCCACCTCTCTCCATTGGGCTGGGGAAGAGTCCACCTTGGCCATCAGCCCTGTAGCAGTCAACAGCTGGCTGCTCTGAGTCTGGCCTGGGCAGGTAGAACTGCCCACCAGCCTTGCCGCTGTTTTTGAGACACCCAGAAAGCATTTATCATTTAACGGGAGCTCTTTGCTTCACTAACATTAGTCACCATACACATTCCATTTTATTCTTTTCTGCCCACTCAGGAGTTTGTAGGTAGTGACCACATCCTGGTGTTCCGTACCTCATTCAGGATCTGAGTTGCATTCTTTGCTCTTAACATGTCTGGAGTCTCCTCCAAAACTGATAGCCCTTTACCTTTGACACCCTCCTCCAGATCCTTCCTGTATTCTTTCTGTGGAAGAAAGAAAAGCACAAAGCCAGACTACAGAAGAGTTCTACACACTCCAGCTGTATTGCAAAAATGAAAAAACCAAAACCAAAATTAAACTAAAAGCTCCAAATTAAAGAAGGACTTTTGAAAACAGCAAAGAATATTTTTTAGGGTTATAAAAGAGCCACTGCAATGGAACAGAGTGCAGTTATTACTGTTCAAGATAAACTGCAAGGGCACCCATGTACACACTGCACTACAGGACAGTTATGTTGAAGCATGTCAGAAAGGGACACAGTGAACACGAATACAGTTAACAAAAAACAGTTAAGTGTCCATGACAAATTAGGTCACAACACAAAATATATGAAAACATGCTTAAAGTGAATGGTTAGGAAAAAGAAAGTGGTGAAGAAAAGATATTGTTGAGAATACTTAGTGGAATTATTTAACTCGTAAGAGGAAACAAAAACAGAGTAACTGCTACCTCGCTTGCTATTTTGGTTGCATATTTGACATGTAATAAGGATGGTGTTATCTCCAAGCCAGTAAGGTTTCTGCCCTTAATGGACTCTTCAAAGTCCCTCTTATATTCTTTCTAATGAGAATAATAAGAAAAAAAGCAAAATAGCAAATACTTATTACATTATTCTTAATTACATGAAAAACTTCTGCGAGAATGGAGAAGGAGCAGAGTTTGGTATTAATGGCACAGTGATGATCTTCTACAGCCAGTGCTGCTGAGAGCTAAATTAATCAATCTTCTTTCTGCTGAAGTCCATTAAATAGCTCATTACTTCCAATGCAGATATGACCTGGCACTATGTTTGTTTGCTTGTTTCCTACATATTTGTATGTGCAGAGAAAACATTTAATGGAGTCATTCAAACACAACGGCTAAGGGCCTCATACAAATGTTTTTCAACACGGGTAAGCCTTCATCTGCAACAGAACAAGATAATAGTTCAAACAAACAAAAAATAACTGCCTTAGGAAATAGAACGACAGTGAAGAACACTGTGACAACGGAGACAAACAGGCAGCAAGTGGGTTTTTCAAACACAGAGTTCTCAGGAGAAAAGGATAACCAGCACATTTTCTGTGGACAACGGTAGCTGACATACATAACATGATCCTGTGGCAAGAGTTTAAGTGAAGTATATTTCATTCTGCATTGCTTCTAGGCACTCAAAGATTTCCTTAAGCTCAATTTACTGACAGCTTCTCGATGGAAAATTACAGAAAATATACACTTCACAGTGGCACAGGAAAACGACACGATTCTTAAATAATATCCTACAACCAGTATAAAGAAACGTGACAGTTTTTCAAGCTATTGGCATACACAAGACACAAATATAATTGCAAGTGTAAATCAATGTGAAAGTTTAACTATAAAAAAAAATAGATGTTAAAGTTTCTTTAGCTTCTAAGTATTCCTCTTAACCTTACCTCACTCTGCATGAGCTGAGATTCCTTTGCAGTTAGGTATGTTGGAGTTTCAAAGTCCAGCATAGGTTTACCTTTTTCCTTCTCATACTTTTCTTTGTATTTCACCTAAGAAGAAAGGAAAACAGTTACCCTTCAAAATAATCAAATAACTTAGTTCTTCAGCTAGTATATGCCTACTGTGATCAACTGATCTCTTGTAAAAAAATGAACTTCTGACACTGATTATTTTCCTGAAATACATATTATTGACCTTAAAATGTAAAATCAAAGGTCAGCCTTGCAGCTCAGTGTGTATGGCATAAAATTCTAGTGACATATCTCCTGTTGCAGAAAATAATCAGCATCAGCTCTGATTTCAAGAAATAACTGATGACAAGAAGGAAGACAGGAAGTGTACAAAACTAGCCTGAAAGCACTCAATCTGCTCCTGATGATGGTTGAGTTCAGCCATGTTAATAAACTGCTTTAGTGTTAGTGGGAGGGCTTGAGAAGATACAACTCAGCATCTTCTTCCCTAAGTCTGTGCATTTGTATCCAGTGAGTAAACTGTCCCCACAGTTAATATATTCTGCTTCACCATACAGTATCCTGTCTTTATCCATTTTCAAACTGCTGCAGGAGGCAATGCTCTGTCCTTGGCTCAGACCAATCTCAATCTCACACCAGAGCAACAAGTGGTTGCTCTTCCACTACATTTGGACCACGCTAAAAACTGATGAACAGTCATTTTCTTGTAGTCATCTACTATGCAGTTTTTACAGTTCTGTGCCATTTTTCTGCAGCAGAACATAATCTACAGCCCTTCATGTTCCAGTAGTAACTTCTCTCTTGCTTTAGGCCCAATAAATACCTGGAGTGAGGAGGATTAAAAGACCACACCTGAGGATAAATGCCCTCGTTTGAGGAAAAGAAGTGTCAACAGCCATACCTAAGAGCAGCAGTGGTATTGTTTTCATTAAAGGAATCATGCATGCAGAAAAAGAATGGCAGAGTTCTTCTCTGTATCACTTGAGACTGGAATGGACAAAGCAACTGAAATTTGCTCTCAGTTACAATATTTTTTTTTTTTCCAGTTTCCAGTTTCTGAGATTATCAAGTCTATTTTAGTGTAGATGAAATCCCCTTAGTAAAAGTATTATGCTGAGTATCCATCCAGATACAACAAGAATAAGTAAATAGGAGATTTACTCTACAATGAAGACCTTGTGGATGTTTTGTATGTGCTCTAAACTTGCAAATGTACAAATATTTCTCATTGACTTTTGTCCTCTCAAGCATGCAGTGTTCAAAAAGCAGATTGGCACAAATTCCTATGCATCAGAGAAATTGCTAGGATGGTTTCAGTGGTGGAGACTTCAGAACTCAGTGAGTATGGTTAATGAGAAACACGTGACCAACTTACGTGGCTCTGCAGTTCTGATGCCTCCCTTAGATGAACCTGTTCAAGATTATCTGGCACCATATGGTAGTGACCCTTACTCTTCTCATATTGCTTCTTGTACTGGTACTGAAGGGAAGGTGTCAAAAATCATCTCAATAAAAAAAAAAATCCCTCAGCAAATCTACTTCTTAGGTCCAATCAAAGCAACACTTCAATGGAACATCAAAGAGAAATGAGAAATACAAAAAGCAAGACAAAAGCAAGAAGTTTAACTCTCAGCATCAAATCATCTTTAAGGATGTGAGTTGTCTTTTTGGATCGTTTTGATTGCAGCAAAATTTTTGCAAAACCAGGAATGAAAAAAAAGGAAGACAAAAAGTAAATAACAAAAAAACCAAACAAAACAAAGGCAACACAGTGGATACATAAAAAAGGCTGTGCCAGGCAGCAATGATTTTCATATTTCCTCAATAAAATTTTCAAGTATTTTGTTAGAAGTAATTCTGTACCTCTACAGTAGGAGGACGTTAAACATAAAAAGGAAATGAAAAAGCAGAGAAAAAAAAAAGTTTTAAATATAGTAAGCAATAAAGAAAAAATAAAAAAGAAAGAAGAAAATAGCATTTGTTAGTGAGATGAGATCAGTTAAAATGTAATGAAGAAGGAATCCACTGAAAACGATTAGTGGATTTAAAATACTAGCAGCTCTACAGCTAATAAAGATTACACTTCCAGAGAACAAATGTGAGAAAGTTGCTAGTTCACTAAGAAACAACAGTTAGAAAGTAGAGAAGAGATCACTACCAGGTGATGGCCCAGGAACTATAGCAAAGGGAGTAATCACTAAAGAAATAATTAGCAGAGATCAGTTCAGGCTGGAATCAGTGGGAATGGAAAAGTCAAACGGATCTGGGGTTAGTCAATGAGCTTACAGCACTGGCGAGTTGGCTGGTATTCAGGACATGGTTCATGATCAGCGACTCAGACATGTCTGTGACAGGCTTATGAAGTTTCTTGAGATCTGCTTTGTATTTCACCTGTGGATATGAAAGGATAAACTACACCAGTGAAGCCTTTCCCATAGAAAATCTGAAACTGTTAGTGGCAATGTGTAAGTGAGCATACCTCACTAGCCATGTTGTGAGCATCTTTCATGGTCTTGTAGATTTTAGCCTCCTTTAAATCATACTTTGGCTTTTTACCCTTCTCTTTGGAAAAGTTCTCCTTGTATTTCACCTAAATGTAAAAACAACAAGATATTACATCTGTTCTCAAGTATTCACCTTGGCTGTGGAAGGCAAACAGACCGTAGTACATTCTGACTGCAAGCAGAATAACAAAAATGCAGTAACTTGAAGGCATCCATTGGAATAAAGGTTACTTTAAAGATCATCTAATATGGAAAGAAAATCTACATCTGTATTTAGGAAATATCACTTTCAATCAGTGCACATGTAACATCTCCTCATTGTAAAAACAGTAACAAACACAGACAAAAGAGGTGTTGACAAGACACGGACAAGTTCTGATCCTCTGTGAGATGAAGAATTTCTCATTCAGTGACAACTGTGCATACACATAAGACATTTCACAAAGAGACAAAAACTGACAGCACAAAGACTGTTGAAAATAAGCTTTTAACATTCTTCTTGGAGAAACACAAGCTTTTAAGGCAACCTGAACACACCAGCATCAAAGACCATCAACATATCAAACACATAAATACATATTGTTAAACACATATTGTGTTTGTAGGAAGCAGAGACAGATGATAATGATCACATACACAGGACTCTAGGAATTAGACTGGATAAGGGGCTTAGCAACACTTCCAGAAAACAGATTAATATCAGCAAGGTGAACTGGATCAATGTAAGCTATAGTATTTCAGCAGACCCAGGCTGGAGGCACATATGGCAGGCTGATGACAAATGGGAGTTTGGCTAATGACTTTAATGAGGACATTTTCATTCATCTCCTCCATCCCTGCTGTTAAAGGGTAACTCCTCACTATTTCTTGCATATCTGCAAGAGGTTGTTCCATTAAGAACGGTTTTGTTTTAGTATATATATTTGCTGCCAAAGATTCACAAAATTGTTTCTGAGGAGTTGTAGAAGACTGTAAGAAAAAGAACCTCAAATAATCCATGACTGGCCTGCTTGAATGCAGAATAAAATCACTTTGTATAATCATATTTCACACTTCTGAATTCACTGGCATATTCTTGCCCATCCATCACCATGCAGTTCATGCTCCATAATGCCACTGCTCTTTTGCTTTGCAAAACATGCCAGCATTCAGGTGAAGCACACAGTGAAACAGGTAAATCTACAAATTATGGAGCTGCTGTAAGAGAACAATACTCAACATTTTTGACATTAAAAGAGTCAGTATTAGTCCTGACCTCACAAAAGTGGAAATAAGCAAGCATACAAGAATACAAGTTATGAAAGCTATGCAACATATGTTGAAGATCAGACCATCATGCCAAAGAGTTCACTGCTTGTAAGCTTGTAATGCTACTGAAGAGCTGCACAAACTGAAAGCAAGCATGCCAGACAGCAGAAATAGACCCCCCCCAAAAAAGATAAGTGGATAAACAAGCTGCTTTAAGAAGAAGCTTCACAAAGAAGACATAATGTTTCATAAAGAATAAATTCATGAGAAGAAATACCCAAGAGAAAAAACAAAGCGAAAGATGATGCCAATTGGTATTTGCCCCCTTACCACCTCTGAAAAAGCTCTCAGGACCAAAATCTCATCAAAGCGAGTTTATAAGACTAAGAGGAGAGCTGGCTGGCCTTGGAGCAAAAGTGTGGGGAAGGAGGAGGAGCTCATTATCACTGCATGGAAATAGACATCATTTCTTCTTTCTCTTGTACAGCAGTTGTTCCAGACGAGGTGTCAGTTCAAGAGTCCTCAGTAGTACCAAAACGATTCTTGCTTTCCCCAACAAGCATGGTGGCTGTCATTAAAGCATGCAAACTTACATACAGTAGTTGTGACTAGATGCAGAAAAAAACCATAATCCTCCTCTTTCATTTGCAAATACAAGTGCCAAACCGAAATGGCACGGATCTGCCTGCTGCACTTCAAAGCTGCCATGCAGCCATAGGCCTTCTGTTTTCCAGAGCTCTTGAGACAGCAAGGAATGTAAGAACATATTCGCCCTCAGATCACTACAGTGCACACTTCTCAGGGCTTATTTAATCATACACCATTTTGCCACTCCAGAACAATGTAAACAGAGTAGTTTAAGTAAAAGTATGAACAGAATTATTAAAATAATAATAATGTGAATATTCTGCATGTGGAATGACTTTTCACTTGAAATAATCATAGCATTGTTCAGGTTTGGCATAAACGTTTCTGTTTTTCATACAGCCTTGGAAAAACCAGCTCAAGCTTATATTGCTGCTTTTAGGATTTTGGGGTGAAAGAAGTGAGCACTGCAGGAGTGCATTGGAACTGCTATTAAAAACAACAAAGTTTCAAAACCATCATTGAAGGCACAGCAGCATTTCAAGCCTCAAGAGGTGCTTCTGGAAGAGACATTCCCCATGCACACAACTCCCATGCACACTCTTCCCAAATGGGAAAAAAAGGCACATCTATATATGCAGTCTCAACATTCAACACATTTGACAGAAGACGACCCAGCATAACTGGTGCATCATAGATCCTTCAGCAACACGGAGTTGTAAGTGCACAGGAAAGAAAGAGATGCAGAAAAATGGCATTCCCAGTCATGTCACTTAAAATTATCTTACATGACTACTTAGCATATTAGCTTTCTTAAACGTTCTCATCCATGGTGTATCATAAGATGCAGCTCCGTGCCCCCTCATGTGCCGCTTCAGGTATTCCGCCTACAATGCGTAGCAAGAGAGCAAGATCAGAAATGCATTTTGTTATGCATGACAGGATGAAAGCATGAAGCAGGAAGGAAGAACCAAGCAGAACTGAGGTCCTGGTGGGAGAAAACTCACAGGAAACCATCTGCTTCAGACTAGTTGCAGAACACGACCGGTGCAAAAGGGTACACAAGCTTCTGTTAACACTGCATACTGACTCCAAAATAGAAGATTTAAGACACAAAATAGAAAGAAAGTGGCTGAAAGAAACTGCTTATTCATCACATGAGGGATGACTGTGAAGAGTCAGGTAAAAGGCTGCTTCTTTTAAAGCCAGTACCCAGAAATGGGGGGGAGGGGAGTAGAAAGCATGTGCCAGCCTTAGTACTGTGTACCAAGTGCTTCATTTCCTTTTTTCATACAAACGAATAACCAGCACATCTGCATCTATTTCACCCTGGAGACAGAACATGTACTACAAACTCTAGACTTTTATAAAAAAAAAACAGCTTCCAATACCAGCAACCCTTCATTTTAAACAACACTTTTCTGAAATCAATTAGCTGGCTTTTAGAGGCAAAGACTATCTTCAGTTTTAATCTACAGGACATACAGACTTAGGCAACCAAACAACTACGATCTAACAGAGTCTTGTAAGAAGGCCAGTTAACTCCTTGCACACCAACTATTTTCAGCATTTCACAGAACTTACACATTTGTGATAGTTATTCAGAAATCTGTATGTTTCTGTATTTTAACTTTCCATACACCATCAAAATTTGAGACTGCACACTGAAATGTGTAAGTGCCATTTTCAAGAAGATGGAAACATGGCAAGGATTTTAGAGACGACAGAATAAACTGCAGAGAAATTAAATGCCTCATCTCCTAACTTCTATGAATCCACTCTTGCCTGTACAGAAGGATTGCTTCTGCTCCCATTGAAGATAGCAGAGTTCTAGAATCTGGGCACAGTTTTCCACCAGTCCAGTTTTTGTGAAAGTGTTTAAGGTGTTCCTTTAAAAATATTCCCTTATTATTTAACCTAGAAATAATTCTAGTCAAAACATTACTCTAGAAGTTAATGGTGTGTTTCTTCTCTCAGCGCTTCCAACTTTCACAGCTTTGTGTTATTACCTGACTGGTTAGCTTGGACACTTCCTTCGCCAGCTCAATATCTGGACGTCCCAGCATGGTCACACCAAGGCCAGCTTCTCCACGCTTTTTATATTCAATCTAACAAAGAAAAACATATTTATGTATATTTTAGTATCGATGAAACGCTCTTTTGATTGCTCTGTAACACTGTTTTAAGAGTAAAATTAGTGCTATAGAAACTATAAAGAAGATTTAAAAAAAACAAACCACCACTCACATCACTAATTAACTTAGCAGCCTGAGTTGCTTTCTTAATATCCGGGCGATCTGCAATAGGTGTGTAGTGGAGCTTTGACTTGGCATCTTTCTTGTATTCAATCTAATCCATGATGACAGACAAAGGAAAAAAAAGATTACTGAGTTTGTTCATGAGGAAATTATGAGGAAATGCATGCAGTCAAATTGCACAAGAAATAAGCATACACAATTGTGATTATATGTGAAGGAAAGAAATAAGTTATTTACATGCTTTGTGTAAGATTACTTCACATTATTAACGATAAATACGACTTTCAAAGACATTCTTTATTGAAGTGCAATTTTACATCTGTAAAAATTCACAGCTTTGTCCTTCAGAATTATACCTGGATGTGGAGGCTGGGAGAAACCCAGAAGTGTGTCAGTTTTTGCCAGGTGACTTTGATTTAATTTTCTTACACAAACAAGTTAATTCATGAAAACACAAAACATACTTACTGTACTCTGTTTTTTAGCAACTTCCATGGCATGTTTCACTTCAGGAGGCTCCAGCATGATAGAATAATTAGACTTGCCTTTCTCCTTCACAAACTTCTTTTTATAGTTTGTCTGCGAAGAACAAAAAGAGCTATGAGTGATTTTTTCTTTATTTCACAGGCAGGTAAATGCTACTGAAGCTTACAAACGAGTTCACTGAAGCTGTTAAGACAGATAAAATGCCTTAAGCCTCAAATATTAAGGCCACTGTGCATTTGTCTTAATCTACATTTCACATTACATAAACTGGCTGTTTGGAGGATCTTTGTTTAAACTGTATTCTATTAAAAATGAAACCTGAATTAAGGACACTCATTCATTTGCACTCAAGTCTGTCCCTTTTCTCCAGAGTATCTCCACAATATTCCAACTGTTCCTACAATTCCAAATTGTAACAATTTTATCTTTTCTGAGTCCTTGTGCATTTTACGGTAAGACTCCACCATGTAGACTCAAATATGAAACACTCTCATCAATTATAGGTACCAGCTATCAATCTCATAGCAAATTAGTACTGCAGAAGTTACTTACATCACTGACGTTCTTGGTCACCTCTTTCACATGAGCAGTGTCTCTTGTCTCAGGTAGGGTTGTGTAAGACCCACGTGGTAGCTGTTTCTTGCTGTGTTCTTTGTATTTGTTCTGAAAGCATAGGAGAAAAATAAGTAAAAAACAACACACACACACACACCCTGACCCAATATTTAAAGGATATCCATAAACATGAATAAATAACTTCCAGATGTGTTACCTCAGATACCAGAGAGCTGACATTCTTAGCCAGGAGGATCTGAGGTGTATCTGGAACAACCAGGCATGTTCCTCGAGCTTTGTTGTGCTTCTCTTTGTATTTTACCTTGCAAGGAGAAAACAATGTTTTAAGCATTGTTTTGTGATGATTTCAAAAGAGACTGCTGTTGTTCTCATTGCTTTTTAGTGGAAAAGGTGCAGATCGTTTTATATTTTGATGTTTTCCAAGACAAATTTGTTCCAGGCTCCAAACCCACATAGCTCTCAATTGGAATATTACTAATATGTGAAATATATTAATTCAATACATTCCTAGTAATTCTTAAAGATATACTGCATTCAGAACAAGTTAGGACAAGTTTGCTTTTTGTTGTTTTTTTGTTTGTTTGTTTTGTTTATTCCAGGCAACATTTTCATTTCAGTAAGGTTAATCTATAGATAAGAAAAGCTCTAGTGTATTCAGGCAATGTTAAAATTTTAATACTTATTTAATTGCAAAGACCACATATTTGTCCAGTAACATTTACAAGATCAAATTTATTCAGATCTTACCAGTTTGTCATTGAAATAAATTCATTAAATAATTGATACCGAGCACAACTTTTCAAATCACAGAATCCTAGAATGGCCTGGGTTGCAAAGGAGCACAATGCTCATCAGTTCCAACTCCCTGCTGTGTGCAGGTCACCAAGCAGCAGCCCAGGCTGCCCAGAGCCACATCCAGCCTGGCCTTGAATGCCTGCAGGGATGGGGCATCCACAGCCTCCTTGGGCAGCCTGTAACAGTGCTTCACTTCATTCTTAATCCAAACAGCCAACAAAGTAGCTTTTGTAGTAAGTTCAAGAAGAATAAAGAAGTGAATGCTCAAGTACTTACATCACTTGCCAAGATGGCATTGTTCAAAGCCAACACTGTGTTCTTATCATCTGTGACAGAGAGTTTGCATCCCTTCAGGAATTCTCGGTCCAGTTTGTATTCGTACTGCAGAAATCAATAACAAGATTAAAAAAAAAAAGAAAAAGAATCCCAGATCTACTACAGTTTTAACTGTGAAAAGGAAAAATGAGGGGAAAGGGAATATTCAGGTTGTTCAGACTTTCTTACGTCACTTTGCTGCAGAGATGACTTGGCTGCTTGGACAAAGTCAGGCCTATCAGCAATCCAGTGCCAATGAGCCTTGGCTGCCTCATATTTCTTCTTATAATCCAGCTGTTCACAGGCAAAAAACAAAAAATGAACAAAAACCCAACAATCTAATGCTGTGTACTTGACAGATTAAATTCATATAAATGCAAATTCTCTTTCAGTTTGGATAAGTAAAAGATGTAAGAAATTACATCCAGATCAGATTAGGGTTTTCCTTTGAATTATGTACAATCCTGGAGATATCCATTTACTTCAGTTAATCAACTGCTGGGTCAATAAAGTTCCATGAATGACTGAAATGATGTTTTAACTTTGAGGAAGGTAAATGCTTTCAATTCTTTGCTTATTGCAGCGGATGTTGGGCCACCACTAATAAAAAACAAATGAGAACTTCTCATTAAGCTCTCACTCCTTCTACAAGAACATTATCACAGCTTTTTTCAAAAAAGGGCAAAGCTAGAAGAATAGTGGGTGTGGGACATACAAGAAATCTCAGGTCATCTCCTGAACTTGCAAGAATGAGTACTTTAGTACAAAACACATTAACATATATTTAATTCAAGCAGCATAAGAACTAGAAATCATGTCCAACCTCAAGGAATTTCAGTAGAATTCTCAGTAATTCCCCCTGGTCACCATTGCTGGTCTCAACCACTGTGCATAACAGAAGTGCAGTACTGATCACACAGAACTCACATTGCTGTTCAGCTTGTAAGCGTGCCGTGGAGTCTTAATATGAACTGAATCTGCTACAACATTGCAGTGGGATTTATTCCTCTCATACACTTCTTTGTATTTCAGCTAAAGAAAGAAAACATTAAAAATGTTTACAAAGATAATAACACATAAAATCGAGCAACTTCAATAAGAGCAGCAGCAGAACATTAAAATCACGATATTCAAAATTGCTTCTGTAAAGATAAAATCTTCACAAAAAAAGAAATGTCATTGATACAACATAGTATCAACTGTCTGCTGGAAAGAAGGGCCCTGGTCAGGAATGTATAATGCAGCAGGCAGAACTCACCACGAAGCTGACTAACACAATTCACATATGAATGGTAATTCTGTCTGCTTCTACTTCCCTGCACTCAATAGAAATGCCTTAAAGAAACCTATCTTCTGATGGGCACACTCAATGTCTTCCAGAAATCCCTTTCCAGATTCTGAAACGTAGCACTTATTTTGGAACCAGTGTATTTCAATTCACAGGTAGCTTTTGAAGAATCTTTGTTTCTTAATGACCCACTACCATGGATGAGATACCAAATCCAGTTTTGAATTTTATTATGCATTGAGGACCACTTTAACCCAGCAAAAACATTCCAAGAGCTACTGCAGAACCTGACATGAAAAAGGTCCTGAGAAACTTAATATCCAACTGATTTTTTCAGAACAGACATTATATACATTCAGAGTTTTATATGCAAGCAAAATCAACACACTCTAATGAGAAGCTATTTTTAATGCCAGTTTCACAGATGTTAGAAATGCTACTTATCAGGGTAAGAAGTTAACTGTGTGTTTTTGGTGATTCACTTACATCACTTATCCTGTCCTTGACTTTGCGCACGTGCAGCAGCATTGGGGTGTCGTGAATTGTAGTGTAGCCTTTGGGCTTCGCTTTGTTATATTCCAACTTGTAAATAATCTGAAGGTACAAATCAGAGATCACATTATTTCTTGACAGTCTTGGTGCCAGTGGAAAAAAAAAATCAGGATGAGAAACATTTTCAAGTGAATACTGAAGATATTATTTTCAAAGGGCAGAATTTGGGAAGGAAGTATAGCTGTAAGGGACTGACCACACTTACATCACTAATCTGTTTGTTGACTTTTGCAGTCCTTAAGTTTTCTGGAGTATCCACAACTGTGGTATACTTATCTTTCTTCTTCTCATAGTCCTTTTTGTACTCCACCTAGTGATTGGCAAAGAGACCACGTTAACCACACAAACCAAGGGAAAGCAGCTCCAGGAATACACGTTTATTTCACACAAGAAATTGCAAAACCCTTTCACCAAAGCCAATGAAAACTGAACATGCAAAACAAACCAAACACTGCAAATCTCTTATCTGCCCTACAGGCTGTCTATTCGCACAATTGTTTTATATTTCTTTCACTGAATCATAAAACTTTACTTCTAGGTCCATGACTGAGTGAATAAAGCAACCTCAGCAGGTCAGTGATTCTTTTAATTCATAACGGGATGAGATCTTATTTTAGAATATTCATCAGAACAAAGAGGGATGTAAAACATCTTACACAACAGAAGATAAAAGCATCCACTGAACCATCATAATGCCAGGCTACTTTAAAGTCATTGGCAGCAGAGTCTGTATCTTAATCATTTCTTAAAGATTACCTTGTTTTACTCAGGACTCTGAACAGTTTTCAGAGGATTCAATGAGAACAGACTGTATCTCAAGAACGGTAATCCACTGTAGATAGCCTCAGGGCAGGTGGAAGAGGTTGGAACATACATTTAAAAAGGAATTTTCATGCTTTATCTTGGATCAGAAAAGAAAACCATGCTTTTGAAGAGGACTAAGACTGGCAAAACATCAATCATTACATACAAACAACAAATCAAAAAATAACACCCATTCAGATGAATATCCAGGTCAGGCAGAGTGCTATTTTTTTTTTTTCCTTCAAACACACTCAAGCTTACCTGCAAGGAGTTTTTAATGAGGTAACAAATAGACATCCACTGATCAACTGGATAAAAATGTCTAGTAATGGCCCTTGGTTCTATAATACTAATGGACTTCATTAACTGAGCCTGTAGCGACAACTCCCTCACTGTCATGTAACTGGTTTCTACTGTTGCATTTCCAGTGATAATTTATACATTACATGCCAGTTTCATCAGCCCAGTCAGAAAATGTGCTTGCCATTGAAAATAGCAAGGTTACTGCTAGCAGATCTCATTTCTCAGTAATATAAATATGTATCGGTTACTCAACAAATCACCTTTTTACCCAACTGTTACAACGAATTCCAGTTGCATAGGAATCCAGATTAAACAAAGACAATACAGAAAATGACTTCATCATAATAGCAGAATCATTTAGAGGCCTTTTTTTTAATATCAGAAATGATACCAAAGGTTCTTTTTCTGTATGAACAGATGAATCATACTCTCTACATTCAACCCTTACAAAAGATGAAAGGAGAGAGTATTTTTGTTTATAAACTTTCAGTATCTGACTGCCTGAGAGCTGGCATGCTAGCCTTATTTAAAAGGGTTGTGAGGCCATGGCACTGCTGCCCAGAGCTGTGGTTACCCATCCCTGGAGGTGCCCCAGGCTGTGGATGGGTTCTGGGCAACCTGAGCTGGGGGGCAGCCAGCCTACGGCAGGGCTGGAAAGGCTCTGAGGTCTCTTCCAACCCAACCATGCTATGATTCTGTGATCTTCAATGCATGGAAAATTGCTCTATGTACGTATGTATGGAAGATCAGCCTAAGCTAAGTGAAGTTCAAGCCCCAGTAAACGCTTTTTCAGGTAGTTTGGGTTTTGAACTATTTTACCATAGACGTACCGTTCTGCACATGGACAAAACTTTGGAGTCTGTCATCTGTGGAATCTCAGAGAACTCACAAGCATAAAAAGACCAAGCAACTAAATGGTAGTACTAATGTCTCCTACAGCAGCAGTTCTTCGTATTACCTGGCTCCATAAGTATGAGTTGTAGAGTGCTGTCAGGATATCTGGCCTCAGAATTTCATTACACCCTTGTTTCAGGAGCATCTTGGCAAGGGATTTATAACTGTTCTGTTCATGCAAATGGCAACGAAGCACAAAAGAGACTTGTGAACACCATAAACAATAAGACAGCTCTAGATCCCTGACACCTTGAGAGTGGAGAGATTTAGGCACAGTACTGTATGTATTCATTCAGATGTGCATACAATTTACATCTATGTAATTAAGAGTACATGCTGAAAGATTTGCTTATTACCCCATTAAGGAAATTATGACAATATTTTCAGGGAGATAATAGTAAATTACAGATAAAGGCACGGGCATTCAAAAATGCAATATGCCACTGCTGCTTTATGTAGAAGTAAGAAAGAAGATCGAATTTGTGGAAGCCAATGAAAGAGAGCTAATAAATAAATGCTTGACACGACGTGCATTTTTTAAAACCTCTCCATTGACTTCAACAGGCGTTAGATTGGAAATTAATTGAATATGATGTCAATTGATGCACAGTACATGAAAGTACATACAGTAGAGATTAGCTCACTCAAAAAGTAACAGTCCTTTTTGGGTGGCAAAACTAAGACTATCTGATCTGAACTAAAACATCACAATATCACAGGTGAAACCTCTGATACTGCCAGCTGTAAACATTTCACACAGACAGAGCAGCTGGGAGTGAACCAGGCACTTTCTGGCAGCACTGGCAAGTGCTCCTACGATACCTGACTGCTCAGTGTAGTCCCCCACTTGGCCAGGAGGTTCTTAGGATCATCCACAATAACGCTGTACCTATCTTTGAGCTTCTCATAGGCAGCCTTATATAATTTCTGCTCAGAATAGCATAACAAATTGTAACAAATTAAAAGAAGACAGTGAAAACATAGAGATCCTGAGATCACAGATGCATCATTTAAACCTCTTCGTATGACATATTCGAAGTCAAGGATTGAAGTTCATATCCAAAATAGAAAATGTATTATTGTTATAAAAACAAAAAACACAAAATGCAAGGAACAAACAAACAAGAAAAGAAACAGAAAAATATGCCAAAATAACATATGCAACTCTAAATTTTATCTACAAGGCCTGACTTACAATTGAAAGATACCTTCAACCCTGTTCCTGTCAATCTTCAAGAAGCCATTTTATAATTTACTTCCTTCATGAAAAAGAGCTGCTGAAGCAACCCTGTGTGGAACTAGATTCTTGATTTGAGTTCAAAGAGAGCGTGATGAGATGGAGGGGTGAATTACAGAGTTATATTATCATCAGACTTTCTGTAAGCAAAAACTTTAATCCATCATGAAAACATCACTCATATAATAGAAGACACTTCAGTAAGTTTATTTCAATGTATGGGGCTCCCCCCAAAAAGATTTTTCTCTTCCATGTCTTTCATAATAATTTGTTCCTTATTTGTACTACCAAAGAACAGCAAGACTAAACATAAACAATCTTCCATCACAAATTCTGGTTCACTGCTTATCTCATTGAGCATTAAATTGTAGCAGTGATTTCTGCAATTAACCACGTTAACCAGATTCCTGGGTTGTTGTTTTGTTTTTTTCCTTCTGTGGGACTGGTTTGTAAACCAACTCTAAGCTGGTAAGAATTCATCCAGACCACACAGATTTTCAGGGCTTTTTTTCCTAAGCATTCAATACCACTTCTCACAACTTATTGATGATTTTAATATTCCTGATACATTAAGTTCATTGCTTCTGTAGCACAGGAGAAAACAACTAAGTAGTAGAGTCAGAGAATTCAAGGCAGAATATCAGAAATGAAACTGAGCTATGATTACTTTGGCCACAATACTATCTTAATACCATCACTATTCTATACTCACAATACTATGCTTTAATTCTCTTTACACCTTTTTCCACACTGCAATCAACAGTTTTTCAACAGTGTTACTCAGCAGGTAGTATTATCAAGTTAGCAGCTCTTTACTGGTCAGCAAAGCCAAAGGTTTTTCCAGCAATTTCAAAAATGGAACAGAGGGGTCAAGATTTCACTTTTTAGTTACTGCAAATCTGTTCTGTGCTAACATTCAGGACGGTCACAGGAACAACCTTGCATTTCCTGATTTCAGTCTGACCTTAAGACATCCTTAGCTCTGAATCTATTTTCATTTATTTGCAAATTGAGAAGGACAATCAACCCTTGATTCCATATTAACAGAAATCTTTAACACTTACCGCATCCAGCAACTGAGTTGCATGTTTAAAATGCCTGTTAATTGGAGAGTCAGCTACGTACTTGTAATTAGACTTTGTCTTTTCAAATGTCTCCTTGTACTTATGCTGCAGGAAACAAAAGCACAGATATACATCACAGAGTTAACTCCAAGTTATTTTAGAAACTTTCTGCAGCAAAATATTGCTGATTTAATTATTTAACTCTACTACAAGCAAAAAATATTTGACTGCAAAATAGCTGTAAATGTAACATCTTACAGAATGGAACTATGGTATCAAGCACTCAATGGAAGCATCAATTCTTGATAACCTTAAAGCTTGATTTCTAGAATCACTATGAAAATCACAATGGAACAGAGATTGTTACAGGGACCATAGGGGATAAGTAAAAGATCATTTTGCCTCATTTTTCTTTCACACCAAGAATTGAAATTATAGATCTTTTCTCAAGTTCTACCATGACAAATTCATATCAATGCCTAGGCTGGAATTGGATTCTCCTAAGAAAAACCAAAATATAAGAAAAACATAAGAATAAAAACCATTTAGCAACAATTCAGGGTGTTTTACTTACCCCACTGTAGAGCACTTTATTCTTTCCTGCCAAAGTAAAATCTGGTGTATCCCACACATAACAGCCGATGCCTCTGAGCCACGATAAGTCTTCCTTGTATTTAACCTTTAGAAAAGAAATAAAGGATGCCTTCACTTTCTCAAGAAATAAAACTCAGTTTTCATTTAGGAAACCTACACATCAAGTTCCAATCTCTCACATCCAGGAACTATTTGAACTCACATCACTAATAGCATCTGTGACGATACGATGATGGAAATGTTCTGGTCGGTCTGGGATTGATCTCCAGACTCCCAGCTGGCTCATGTAATTTTCTTTGTATTTCACCTACAAAGAAAATTAAGAGAATGAAAAAAACAGATTTTGAGAAGCAGAATACCTCAATCCATGCAACTTTTAGACATTCTGTTTCCAGAGCACCAGAACTGTAGCAGTGGAAATAAGATTTACTTGTACTCACTTTTTTTTTTTTTTTTTAAGACCAAAGGCAATCAAGCATATAGTCAAGGAAAGAATATTAACAGTGCTGATCATATTTTCCTAATTATTTGATACAGTCAAATAGACTAACAACATGACTAGCATGTTCTAGGTTATTAGATGACAAATATACATACACTGCTAATATCATCTGTGACTTTTCGATGATAGACAATATCCAAAGCATCTTTCACTGTGTGGTATTTCCCCTTCGTGTTCTCAAAGGTTTCTTTGTAGCGCAACTGGAAAAAAGAAAAGTAATATATTAAAAAATATGTTTATCTATCAGGAGTCATTTTAGTTAAAAATCCTATATCTGAGGAATGATAAAGTTATATGTTGCTTTCCAATATCATAATATATGTCCTGAGGAATTTCAAGGAGCTTCAACTACCTAAAATCTGTTACAATTTGACTGAGACTTGTGAAGAACATTAGAAAGAAAAGGAGTTGGCACATCTAAAGCAAAACTTCATCCTACTCTTTCAGATTGCAGACTGAGAAAAGATGCCATGTGTTAAGTATTTGATCTCTAAAATAGCAAAAAAACCCCAACCTATGCATTCCTTCTTCTATGTTCTGGTCCAGAAGAAAGCAGGATGACTATTTGCCTCTCGGGGGAAAGACCTTCTCAGAAGAGAAATCCAGGTGCAAAAGAAGTGATATATTCTTAAAATCATAAAAATCCCTCTCATGAGAGCAGTAAGAAATATTCTCATCAAAACACTGGCCTAACAAATACTCCATCAGGACTTCCCAGGGTACCTGGGCAATGTGCAGTGTAAAATATGTAGCAAAGGTCCCACTAAAGAGTCTCTGATTGATTTCTAAATGAAACAATGAGCAAGTTCTCAGGGACACGTAAGTGAACTCCTAAAACCAAGCAGAGATGAAATTATCTGAATCATTTCACACTGATCTGCGCTACTGGGTGATTTCATATGTAAGCAACTTATTTTTTTTCCTTTTCTGAGTCAACATTTCAGTGCAAAGCAAAATGAATATGAATTATAATAAAGGTAAGAAAGCACTACAGTGACACCAAGTGAAAACTATTTCTGTAATATCAAATGGAAATGGAAGAGAGATTCTTGAAACAAGCTGAGCCAATCCATGGCTTGCATGCTTGTTCCCCACTAACCCCCACCCCTTTTTTATTTTTTTTTGTAGAAACCAAGAAAAATTGGAATGAAATCATTCATGGACTACATACATCACTGGCATTCAGGTATGCTCTCTTGGCTCTGATCAAGACTGGTGTGTCAAGGACTGGTGTGTATTTGTCCTTCATCTTCTCATACTGGATCTTATATTTTGTCTAAGAGAAATAGTAAAAGTTAAAGGTTACATCTTCAGTCTTAGAAGCAGTTGCCAATCTCATATTACATTAACAGCTAGAGGTGCTATCCGAGTGCACAGTCATTCTTGCAAAGCTCTCTGTCAAAACACTGGGAAATAAACTTGGCTGTTCAATTCATACTAGATGTTCCACATTTTGCAGCCAATCTCCCACAGATTCTGCAGACAAGTATTTAGAAACACATACCTTGTAAAATATTCAAGTTCGTAAGAAACGTGCAGTCATTTACCACAAATTGTAAAGGAAACATGGAACTTAAGTATGAGTTACAATGCTAAGCAAAAGGCGAACAGATGTGAGCCTTGAATCCATCATCAAAATTAGAAGTGAAACTTCTAAGCAGTTTAAATATTGGTACGAAACAAAAGACCAATCTTACCTCACTGACCATGTCTTTTACATGCCTGGCATGTGTGAAGGCTGGAGTCTGGCTACCAGCATGGTGATGAGGTCTCTCTTTGGTGGCAAGTTCCACATACAAATACTGCAGCAAGACAGAAAGAATCCAAAAAAATACATTTCAAGTACGTTTTACTTACTTATCACCCTGAAAAATGACTATAGGTTCACAATAAGTTCACTATAAGTTTCGCATAAACACTCAATTTACCCCAGGAGAAACTGGTGAGAGTTGCACCCTTTCACTTTCCATATTATCTCAGTCCACCTTTTTCCATTACTCACAGTGTTCTGCAAACACCAGCAATATCTTCATGAACCCCCAAGTCCAATGCATACGACATTAATGCTGTCTCTGCCCTACGTCCATGCCTCACTTTGATAAAAGCATCCAAAACAGTCTGTTTTTTTCTGTTGGGTAACAACATTTTGTACTACTAACTCAGCAAGAACTATGTGAATGAAGATAATGAACAAATGGTAGACTGACAAAAGTACTTATCCCTCTGACAAAGTCAGAGTTTCAGAGAATCTGAACACAACAGACCACGGTTCAACGCTTTGCTTCAGACAGCCAAAGTTGGATTTGTCCATCACAGAGGTATGGTAAACATGAAAAATCAAGCCACTTAACAATGGCTGTTTTTAAAAGTACCCTCTAGGAATTCCACATTGGTTTGAAATGACCTGAAAAGATTTTGCTGTACTTAAAAATAATATTAACAAAGAACCTCAATTGTTTTTTATTAGTAGAAATTTTTCACCTGGCTCTGTATTTTTTGTCCTTTCTTGGCTCTTAAGTAGTCAGGTGTGTCAAGGACAGAAGTGTATTTTGTCTTCAGCTCCTTGCCTGCAGCTCTGTAAACCAGCTAGAAAAAGAAAAGTCTGTGAATGATTTCTTCTCTTACATATATTTGTGTAACAGCTGCCCAAACACAGCTTTGCAGCAATTGTAGCTGCAACAATTGTAGCATCTCTCATATTTCTGAAAAGAAAACAGTGAGAGATCTGAGCTTTACTTAATTACAGCTACCAAAGATGAATAAAATTAACACAGAACTTACTTCACTCAAATGGGCTTTCAGTTCCTGAACATTCCTGTACCCAGGAGTATCCAACACCACACTGTATTTATCCCGCATCTTCTTTGCAGTATCAGTATACACGTAATTAGACTGAAAGATGAAGGCAGTATCACTTAGGAAGCTCTTATTATTCTTAATTGCAAAGAGCATTCATGGTGTGAAGTAACAGCACTTTGAAACAAATAGCCAGAAGCACAGCAATACATGCTGTCGTTGGTCTTCATTTATTTTCATATACTTCATTTCTTGGATTACATATCACATGTGTCACCAAATGTGTTGTTGTTATACATTCTTTTCATAAGAAAAGCCTTACCCAAAGCTTACGCAGCTGACGAGCACGGACCATATCAGGAGTATCATAAAGGAAGCAGCCCAAGCCCTGCAACCACTTCAGATCCTCTTTGTATTTATTCTACAAGGCAATTAGGGAAAGAAAACCAGAATATTAACTTTGCAGACCAGTTCACTCATCAGTCCTTAAACACAATTACAAAGCATTTACCTATTACAGAATAGAATAAATGCCAAATTACACTTTCAGTATAAAATTTCTACATTCAAATACCAGGTATCTTAATAGGAGGTACTTACATCACTTGTGATGTCCCCAACATAGCGGCAGTGCAACACCTGAGGAGTAAATGGCAAGGAAATCAAGTGTCCTTGCATCTTAAAGAAATCTGACTTGTAGATCAACTGAAAGACAAAGAAAAAAATAGTAGATTTCACGTAAGATCATGCTGAATATTCTAAATATCTTCTGTTCTATGTTAGAAAGGCACATACATCACTGACAGCTTCCTGTGTTGCTTTGACTTGACGGATTTCTGGTGTGTCTGGAGTAGTATGAATCTTATCCTTGTTCTTGTGGTACGTTGCCCGATACAACCTCTGTATGAAAGAAGACAGGATTTTACATGTTAAAAACTTAAACATTGCAAGAAATTTAGCAGAGTGTAAACTCTTGTCTTTTTAGGACAGCTCTTTTGCTAGATATTGCAGAACTAATAGAGAAAAAAGGGAGCAACCATACTTCTAACCAGTCAGACTTTTTTTGATAGCAGCATCTCTAACAGCAAAATGTAGAATCTAAGACCCCAATCCTATAAATATGTAAACACACTTACCTCACTGGCATTCAAATGCTAAATTTTCAAACTAGTACTCATTTCTTTGATCATTGACTTTACATGTATATAAAGTCACAGACTCAATGTCGAAGACACAATTTCTGTACCTCTTCAACCAAACAGCAGCAGGATGGCTAATGAAATTAAGCTAGAAGTGATTTCATTGTAAGATAATAGTGTTACAGGACTGTAGAAAGTTAAGAGTCATCAAGAACATTAAAAAGCCACGCTACCCAACTCCAAGGCTGAATCAATGATCCCCTGCCATTCTCGATGGACATTTATCTATCCTGTTCTTAAAAGCCCCAGTGAACATGGATCCTACAATCTTTCCAGTCAATGTATTTTCATCCCTCAGATTCTGGGCACTATAAATACAAATGAGAACAAATACTGTACCTCATTAATGACTTGATTCACTTTCTTCACATTCTCAAACCCAACATCATTAGGTCCCAGAGTGTAGCCTTTAGCTTTCATATGTTCATAGGCTTCTTTATATTTCAGCTACAAAGTGGGAAAGAAATCTTTTAGATTGAACAAAAGTATATAGAAACTAAATTTCCTTATGCTTCTAGTTACACTGCTGTTCTGGCAATAATTTGTGTAGATTTTTAGATTCAGATTTTTAGAGACAGTCAAATGGGCTACATCAGAGCTAAATAGGCATTATCCTATCAAGATCAAAATACTTTTATGATCTCACCCAAGATGAGTAACATTTTAAATTCCTCTTATGTCTAACATGATATGCACATCTGTCTGAGGAAATTTTTATTTTATAGCAATTGCTTCAATTCTGTTAATGTAAACATTACCAGTGTTGGGAGCTGAGTGCACTAGTAAGAACTGATTGCTGAGACCAGGCACACCAGAGGCGTCAGTCCTTGCCTTAGCAATGCTGTAGGCACACCTGTCTTCAGCACTGCTTCCATCCTCATCTTCTGGATGGGCACTGGTCCTCCCTCACAAGTAGCTCATCTCTAGCTCTGTTTTGTAGCCTGGTTTCAAGTTCCATCGCTTGGATTTACCGTGCACCTATGCTGTTGGTAGCTTGCCTCCAATTTCTGTTCTGTCTCCTCTATCTCCTGACTGTAGGCATGGAAGCTGACCCTCACTTTGTCAGAGACTTTTGATGCAATCTGCTATCAGCACCCTGCTCTACCTGCCTTACTCAGTGGGACTTCCCACTGGCTGATGAATTTACTGCTTGTGTCATAGTCATCATAAGTTCCTGGCTCAGGCAAACACATGGAACTACCCCTACTGTTTTTGCTTTCTGGTAACCATTCTCACATCTGAGAAATAACTGCCTCCACAGTCGTGAACTCCTAGAAAACAGGCACCAAATTTTCCCTGGTAACTCGTGTTATAGAAGGACACAGTACATTACTTACATCACTGCCAATGTACTGGACGTGTTTGGCATGCTGGAAGCCAGGGGTATCTTTGGGAAGACTGTATCCAGTAGGCAGAGCTTTCAAACCAGCCCAGCGATACAAATTCTGTAAAGAAGCAGGGGGAGGAAAAGAGAGGGAGAGTCTTTGAGACAACTGTGTGTAGTATTTGACAGTATTCATTAGCTACACAGAAAATCTCTTATACACACTCAGCAACAGATTTCCCAAATATCTGCCTTATAATGCTTGCTTGAAGGTTAAATAATGACACTGTGCCACTTTACTTTCATGCAGTGGAATCCAGCTTCCATATCTGAAGAGCTAAATAAAGACCAACGTTTAAAGAATCTGGGTTTTGAATCTGAAGACACTGTAGACTTGCAGAAAGGAAAGATCGAGAGAAAGCACGATCATGCATCAAACAGGAGAAGAATGTGGAAGTTGGGTTTTCTTTGGCATTCTGATGAAAACAAAGTTTTTATACTTACTTCACTCTGTATCTTGTTTGCATGACGTGCCCGCTCCAAATCCACTGTCTTGTTAGTGGGAATCGCTTTGCCTCTAACTTTATTTAAGTAGTCACCACGATAGATAATCTAAGAAGAAGAAAAAGTAATTAAAGGAAAGTCATAACGCTGATGCTTTGTCACAGTGTGTATTATTTGCATACACATGGGAATATCTTCCAAAAAACTGGATGAAATTCTTTTGAATTCAGGCAATTAATGATTTTAGTGACTGCGATTTAGTGATTAAATATTTAGTGATGCCTTAATAAAGGCAGGGTCAATGAGCTGTGGATAATAAGCAATGAAATAATGACTACATATATTAAAGTGACATTTCTAGGACCCGTGAAGAAATGGCACTTACCTCACTGGCATTCAAGCCACTGAGGATACTCTGGACATAGATAGGAGTGTCCATGACCACAGTGTATTTGCTCTTCGTTTTTTCTGCAGCAGATTTGTACTTGATCTGCAGAGAGAAATTCAAGAACTCCAGTCAGTAAGACTAGTTATTGTTAACTGATTTTATTATATTTTTATATTTACAGTAATTACTATCTATTTTATTTGTTACTTACTCTACTCATGAATCAGCATTAATACAGAAAATGTCTTGAAATTAAGGCTGCACAAATGAATATGGCACCTACTTAAGAACTCCTATCAAGAAACAGTGGGAAATGTCATCAGAATATTTATACGCACCATGTGATGCGCACCCAGCCTACTTCTGATACACAACTTAATAGGGGGCATACCATCAGTAAAAGCACAATGATTAATTCTCCCATTTTAAAACCTTAATCCCAAGCTAAGGATATCTTTACTTCAATGGAGTCAGCAGCTTCACTCAGTTTAACATTACTTGCAAATTTACTTGGATGCAGGACTCGAATGTGTACTAAGTCATTTATAAAGGCACTCACGAGAACTGGCTCCAAAATGGAGCCCTGGGGGAGACAGCTAGTAGATAATTCAGTAGAGAAGCATATATGACATTTTTCAGACCATACCTGAATTAGAATAGAGCTACTCCACCCTGTTAATACAATGCTTTGAAAAATATTAAGAAGTAAGCAGAAACAGTGTATTCAATTCAGACTCACATCACTGCGAAGGTCGTAGGCATGTTTAGCATGGAGAATCTCAGGAGTGTCCCAAACAAAGCAGCCAATGCCTTTCAGCCAGTTAAGATCATCCTTGTATACCACCTAAGATATCCGAGAAAAGAAGCAATCTCAGATGTGCACCATGATCCAACCCTTTTTGTTAAGTCAGTCTGAACACAACTGTCAAATGCTGGCAGGTTGATGTTTCTTGGTTTTTGACATTTTTTGTTTCGAGAAAATCAAAACAATTCCTTTCGGAATTAAAATGATTTTTCTACAGCACTTCAAGAACTGCAAGGTTTTGGCCCAGAGCCTGTACTGATAATAGTGAAATGATGCATTCCAAGCCACACTTCAGTACAGACTGATTTGTCTGTGTTACAAAAACAAGATATAGATGCTGTGCCATCAAGCATAATAGATATGAGTGGAAACCACAGAGTGCTCCAACCAAGTTTCTGCAAAATCATTTCCTCTACAGAGCACAAATGCAAGAATCCTTTAAGAAAAGTGAACCACAAACACTTGTGAACTTACATCACTGATCTGATCAGCTACTTTTCGAACATGTGCGTTGATCTGAAGATCTGGTAGGCAGATCCAGTTGTGGAGACGTACGCGGTAATCGATTTCACTGATTTTCTGCTGTGCATCTTTAGCAGCAATTATGTCTACCATGTCAGGAATAATGTGGACTTTGGTTTTATTCTTTTCATAGGTTTCCCTGTACAGACGCTGCAGAATTAAAACATTCACATTAATAATGCTGGCACATAGCCTGAATTATTAACTGTTGATAAAGCTGAGGCAAAAGACTGTGGTATTCTACTAATATTTTCATGGACTGCTATAGTTGGAGAGCAATCATTTTGGCTATGACTCGCATTTCCATCTTATCTACTCTAAAGATTTGCAGATTAAGGAACCTTCAAGCTCAGCAATAATAAGTAAAGGGTGCTAAAATACAATTTGCCAAATCTTCATGGCAGTGATGTCAACAAGAGGTAGGCCAGGCAGTGTGCAACGTTTCATACATAAACATATTAGACTTAGAGGTTTAGAAGACAATTCAACAGTTGATGTAGAAGCCTGAAAAGACATTTGCTAAATATGGTAATCACCCACAAATACTGAGCACTGCCAAATGCCTACTGAAATACATTATCTGTGTGGTTTTTAAGAAAACACCACTTACATCAATATTAAGCTTTCCAACTCTAAGGCACCTTGCTATATTGGGGTCATCCTCAACACTTCCAGGTATTGTGTATAGAGCTTTGAACTTGTCATATTCTTCTCGGTATTTTACCTAAGCAGATGTAAAGAAAGACAACAGATAACAAATCCCAGTTAGAAAATTGTAATTTTAGAACCAGATCAGTAAGTAAATCAATAAGTATTCAGTTCAGACCAAAAAGTAGAGGCAGCATTTAAAGCAGGATCTCGGTTTTAATTTTATTTTTAGCTGCAAAGAAAATGCACTGTAACTACTGAAAAAAGTAAGAACAGTTAGCTAGAAGATTTTTAAATAAATAAATTGAATTTACTAGTTATTTTTATTGTTACAGCTCTTTCCTTTAAATCTATCCAAGAGAGTGATCTCTCATTAGCCTTTGCTCAGTAATGCAACAAATCGTGTCCTTCTACAGTCAGTAAAGCATCATTTAAAGACATATAGAACATTTGGTGCTTTTCTGACTCAGGCCACTTAGGCTAAAAGAGAACTGACTATAATTTTTCTAGAAGTTGCTTCTATTATTATAAAATGCAACTTTTTTTCCACGAAAAGGAGCAGCAAAGGACTATCTAACTGTTAGTGAAATTATTCTCACAGAAAAAGGATTTGCTATAGATACATATTTAAACTAAAAAATAAAAGATTCTCCAGTTCTAAGATATTAAAATGCTTTGATACTTAAATGCAAGACATGAATGCTTGAATTGCTAGAACTGATCTGACTAAAAAAAAAAATAATCAAAGTATTTTATTGACTTACAATACTAGCATTATGCTTCAGTTCTTTTGCACGTGCTAGGGATACAGCATCAGAGGGCATTATGTAGCTAGTAGCTTTCACCCTGTCCCAGGCCTCCTTGTAGAGATTCTGTGGGGAATAGAAAGTCTCTATCAGTGGAAAGATTCCCTGGGTAACAACCAATGTCCAGTAAAGAAATCAGTATCCCTTCTGTTGTGATGATTATTTTACACCTTAACTATTACTTCACAGAAATTAAGACAGCACAGTACTATAATCTTGATAGCACACAGAAAAGGTAACAAAGTTCTTTCCTGTTCATCTTATCCATACTCATACAAGAAGTCTTTTTGGTTCAGGTGCAACTTTCTTCACAGAACCCATTTATTAATGCTTATATTTTGACAAGACTGAGCCTGACATTCAGCATCTTCTCCATACTCACACAATGCAGAGGGCTATCACTGACTCTGCTAAGTTTCATATTTGTAAATTTATCTTCAAACAGAGAAGACAAACAAAATAAAATTAAATATCTCGGTAGTACCTTGAGAGAAAAGCACTTACATTGCTAAAAAGATGTTTCAGATTTTGAACTCTTTCAGAGTCTACTGTTTCAGTCACAGTTGTATACTTGTCCTTAGTTTTATGGTAATCTTCTTTGTATTTAACCTATAAAATGAAAGATGGATTCAGTGAACTCGTCTCAAATCTCAGGAGGAGCAAAGGAAAAAAAAAAGAATAGAAAAGAAGGGGACACTCACATCACTGGCATTTATAGCACTCTGCACTGCAGTCACATAGACTGGTGTATCAGTAACAACACCAAAGTTCTGAAAATTCTCTTTTCCAGCAGCTGTATATTTTATCTAAGCAAACAGAAAAAAAAAATAATGTTGAAAATGACCACAAAATTTTCGTGCTAACTTCCTTTAAAACCAGTCATTTAAAATCAGATAACAGAAGGATAGGATTACAGTCCAAGCAAGACCAACTTGAAGTTACTGCTGTACTGAAGAAATGCTTCTACATAGGAACACAGCAAGTATGAACTACGTAATACAGAAAATTGTGGATAATTGTAAAGCACATCTAGGCTAAGAGAACAACCAGCAAGACAACAGATACCTTTCTCTCAGCATAAATAACTTAAATAATGTAACATAAATAACTTAAATAAATAGCATAAATAACTGAGGTATCTTGTGTACAGAGTTGCACACAAAATGTGTGCGACCTTCTCACTGTTAAAAACCAAAATGCTTCAGTACTTCCATTCTCCCAGTTTTTCTGCTTTTTTAGCAACAAGAATTACCAAGACTCCGCAGACTAAGCTGCAAGATTGCAATGATTAGAAAAAGTATTTTGGATGTAATTATTTCATTCTGCTTTCAAGTAGGATAGGTGAAAGGCCCAGTGAATCATAAATGAAGAAAGAAAAAACTTATATATGTTTACTTATTTGAGGGCAACTTGCTTACTTGGCTCTGGAGGTCATATGATTTTTTAGCATGCAGGATTTGTGGAGTATCCCAGACATAGCATCCAATTCCCTTCAGCCAATTTAAGTCATCTTTATACACCACCTATACAGGAAAAAAAAACAACCACGTACATAATTAGGAAGAAATTTGCCCCTGTTTGAAGAAAATACTGTTACTTTTACTGTATTCAGCTTTTGCCACTTGTGCAAACTCAATGCACCACAATTCAGGCTTATTCATCAATTATACCTGGAAATTTAAATGTGTGCACAGACAATGCTTGGTATGACCCATTTCACACTGTGAATGATTCTTACCCAGGTTTTACATGGAAAAGTAAGCCAATTATACATCATATTCATAGGCCAGGAAATTAACACATCATTAAATTCTATTAGGAAGGCTTTTCACCCAAGTAGAGATACTGTTGAATATTTAATAAGAAATTCAAGTACCATCTGCAGCTGTGGAATACAACCTCACAGAAAAGTCTTTTCCATACTCATCCAGGAGGTCTGTGCAAGCTGTCCTGGCTCCTGTGCAAATTAACTGGTGATCACTGCAGCACAGCAACACTTTGACTTTGGTACCTCTGCATCCCATCTCTGCGTGTGCCAGATGGTAAGCATTCTACATTGCCTCAACAAGTCCATCTGGTGAACTTTGGGAAGGCTTGCAAATATTAACTTCTTACGTTTTTCCAATTTACAAGTGTGAGAGAAATAAGTAGATCATTAAGATCCTCCCCAGAAAATGTAAAAATCTTTGCTACTGTGACACCAAGCAATCTAAGACCATGGTTACCAATTTCATGTTTAAATACTGCAAAAACACCTGAAAGCATTTGATATTTAAATATCTTGAAAAGATTACTTTGTAAAATGTTAAATAAATATGTGAAATACATACATCACTCAAAATTTCTTGGGCCCTTTTTGCTTGAATAACATCATGCTCTTCAGGGGAACAATTCCAGTGGTGGAGGTAAGTTCGGTATTCAAGGTCACTGAGGATATACTGGCACTTCTTAGCTAGCACATGATTCATCATATCACTTGGAATATGGACTCTTGTTTTAGTGTCTTCGTAATTCTTTCTGTATGCCAGCTAAAAAACAAAGGTGGAGGAAAGAGAAAAAAGTGAATAGTGTTCTCCTGCATAATTTTGACTCCAGTAGGTAGCAGGTTATATAGAACAATCTGAGGCTAATCTTAGTTTAGGGACAAAACTCCAATGGGATTCAGTGGGATGGAGTCTGAAGTTAGATATTAATCACCATTTATTCTGACAAGGTACTAGAAAGACAAAAACAGTCTCCTTCATTGGCAGATTTAACTGCGTGTGTGAAAGGTAACACTACTTCAAGATAAGAAGTGCCTATGTTACAAAAGCTTTTCTTTAATCCAAATCATCTCCCTTTTCAAAAGGAGACATAATATTAGAGATTATATTAACCATGCCCCTGCATGACATGTTATACGTTCAGTGGTGACAACAAAACACCAAATATATATTTATCTTTCTGATTCCTCAATTCCTATTATATATATTATATTTTTTTTTTTTTGCTAATATGGCAAAAGTATCTCAAGCCATATAGTATTTCTTGCTGATCAGATTCTTAATGTAAAATAGAAAACTCTAATAGGTCCAATAGTTAAAAAAAATATATATCTATCTTGATCTCTTAAATCATTTCAAATTCAATGATTCACCCCAAAATACATTCAGGAAAGCACATGGAAAATACTATTACTGGTGTTAATAAGCATAGCATTACTTATGTTCAATATGAGAGAGACACTGATAATAAAGGAAACAGAAACTACTGGGGGAAGGTGGACTGTCTCCTCACCGCGCTCCTTATTTTCTGGAATGCTAACGAATGAACGACGCTGGGGAAATCTCCAATGTCCTTCCCAGCCAGATAATGGCCCTTCAGCTTCTCATACAGCTCCTTGTATTTACGCTGCAAAATAGACATGTCGAAATTTTAAAGTTCATGTTCACAGGAGATAAGAAAATAAAAAGAAGGAATGGAAAATTCCTACTAACCTCACTATTCACGTAGTTTGCATGCTTGGCTCCAACAAGTGGAATGTATTTTGTATCCAAAGTATACCCAAGGGGCTTGCTGATTTCCCAGTCTCTTTTATAAAGTGTCTAGATAAACAGAACACAACACAAACTTTGATATAAGATCCATTATGCTTTCCAAGAGGTCTGATTCTGCTATTTTCACACATACGGAATAGGACTGTTTCTATAGAGCACTTCCTCTTTCCAACAAATCATCCCAACAAAGTAAATGAAGAATATTCATTCAGAACACATATTTGGTCTAAGACAGAGCTCCAACTCAGGAGAGTAACGGAGCACAAACTCAAACTCTTTAGATTTGCTCTCTTGAAATGGCGACCTGGAATTCATTGTTTCTCACCCAGAAAAGTAACAGAAATATTCAAAATGTAGACATGAACTGCTGTTTAAAAGTGTGGTATAGAATTGACCTTGATAATCTTACAGATAATTTGTTTTAAATCGTGAAAAATCTTCAAGTGAAACTTGTATTTATTATAAGAGCAGTAATTGTGTCAATGGAACTTTTAAAATATGTCATGTTTTAAATATTAAACACGTTGACTTCCAGACTAGACTACAAAGATTTGGCATATAAATTAGTCACTTACACTTCCAAAGGTAGATACTTCCAATTAAAATTAGTGAGACTACTGATAAATACCTCCTCAGTAACACAAATCACCTAAAGTTTTCCTCTCATAAAAAATAAATGTAAACTCACATCACAGAATCACAACTATACTAATGCTCCTCCTACTCCCAAACACCTCACAGTAGTACTCTGAGATCAGTTCAGTGAGGAAAGAAATGACCCTTAACCAAACTGTCCTACAACAAAGAGATTAAATGACATTTCCAGTGCCCCGTAGTAAACTGATGGCAGAAACAGAACAGTATGCTGAAGTTCAGTCTACATTCTGTTGCTTTCAAAACTAACTGCAGCTCAGTTAGGTATTTATCAGATCTTACATCACTATACAGTAAGGACATGTCTCTGGCATGATTCAGTTCAGGAGTGTCATCAGACCCGATGTACTGGCCTTTCTCGAGGTTAAATGTTTCTTTGTATTTTAGCTACAAGAGAAAAGAAATACTGAGTTAATGCCACAATAGAAATAAATTATCCCAACTAGTCCATCTGTAAGAAGTAGACATTTATTTTCTGTTATGTTATCACATCTTCAGAAATGTTGTATAGTGCATTTCAGCCACTATGGTACGCAGACAGACGTCATCAGTAAAACTTGAGTAAAATGGAACATGTTTATCAGCAATTAAGACAGTGGCCACAATGAACTCCACTAGCTTACAAGAACAAGACTCAATTTTAAATCACTGTAAGGAAAATCTGTATCAACTGTAAATAAGGGATAACCTGTATCTGTCTACAGAAAAATGTAAAATGCTTTGTTGTAGCAATATTGTGTTATTTCTATATTCTTACTGAACAACTTGCCCAATAAAAGTCTACTATAAATAAGCATGCACATGCTTACACACACACAGCTAAACACAGTACAGTCCAGCAAAAGCAATTGAGTCATCTACTAATTCTAATAATACAGAAAGGAAAAAAGGTACATACATCACTCTGATTGACAGAGTTAATCTTTGCCAAGACAATGTCTGGAGTGTCAACCACACTGGTGAACTTAGAAAAGTTTTCAAGGGCATCTTTCGTATATGCTCTCTGCAAAGAGATGAAATATTTTCTTATACACTGTGGATGAGAAAGAAGAGCTAGCCACACAACAACTAAAATACCTTCTTACCTTATTTATCAGTTCCTGTGCATGCTTAACTTTCTTATGTTCCACTGAATCCAGAGGAATCCAGCCACAACCACGGAGCCATTCCAAATCAGATTTATAAATATTCTAAAATAATGAAGTTACAAAAAGAAAAGAAATTATGTCCTTCTGCCTTATGTAATATAAAAAAATGCACTCAGACCATACAAATTGGAAATTACATGGTATGTGTGCAAAATCACTTACATCGCTTTGCAGATCATAGGCCTTCCTTGCGTGAATACAATCATTCTGGTCAGGGTGGCACGTCCATTGATGCAGGTATTGGCGGTAGTCAATATCACTGACCAACGTCTGACACTCCTTGGCTGCTACAACTGACATAATATCCGCAGGGATGTGAATTTTGGACTTTGTTTTGTGGTAATTTGATTTATACAATCTGTCATTCTGGATCTCGCCTGCATGTTCAAACCACACCAGTTTCGGATCATCTCTCATACTGGGGACTCCCACGTAGTGACCTCTTTGTTTGACATGGTCAGCTTTGTACTTAAGCTGATGGAAGAGGGGAGAAAAAAGTTAAAATCAGTATTGATTATATCTACTCATTTTTTAAGCCGTGATCAGCCATGGCTTTGTCAACACCAAGAACAAATGAGACTGTTTTATTAACAGATAGTTGCCAACAGCAGTCTGATTTTCAATACATGACAAAATTAGGAGACAAACAGCAATGTTACTTTGTGTAGTCCTTCCACTTCAAAATGTGTAATTTTCTAGACTAATATGCTATCATTTTTCAGTAGGGTGCATTTTCAAAACAAGAGGAAAACCTAGCACGAAAACCTAGCTAGAAAATATCTACTAAGCACTCAGCCTCAGTTTTCCAGCACATTATTGAACATATTATTTAAGACTGTCTGGAGAATTGACCTTTATTTAAGGCATTTACACCACATTTTTGACAAAATGTGCGCTCAGTAGTTAACCAAGAGCTTCAACTCTCACTATACAAAACTTTGAAACCATCTTATAGTTTCTCATAGAGGAAGCCACCATAATGTAATTATGGAAACTGAAATCAGAGCTGCAGATAACAATCATCACATTTATTAATTTTTTAGAAGCTTATAAAATATGAAATTTTACCTCAGGTGACTTTGAAAGGACTGCATCTGGAGAAACTAAAGGTGGAGACAAGAATCTGACCTTTCAATACCGATATCCATGAAAATCATAATCTCAAAAATGTCTGAATTGTCTGGAGGACAGTGAACTTCATCAATCATAAGATGTCCACTGGATGTTAGCCCTAATGCAAAGCTTTGCATATCGTTCATTGAACTTGCAAGGCCTTTAACATTTGTAAGCTTCTAAGCATTTGCTCTCCTAATGCAATGAGAAAAGTTATTACCTCACTTTGGACTTCATTTGAGTGTTTGGCATGACGGATCTGCACAGTGTCAGGAGGTAAGAGATAACCAGTGGCTTTTTCTTTCTCCCAGCTTTCCTTGTATAAACTCTGTGGAAAACAGAAGAGAGGAGAAAGGAGAAATTCAAAACTACTGGAGTCATAGGCATTATTAAATGTATATAAGGTATATAAAATGCAAATAAAATGAATCCTTTCTCTAGGGTGTTCTTAATACAGCAAGTTTTCTAAATCCCTCAGAAGAGATGTGAGTTGTGGATGTTGTGTTGAGGGACATGGTTTAGTGGGAGCTATTGGGAATAGGCGAACAGTTGGACTGGATGATCTTTTAGGTCTTTTCCGACCTTGGTGATTCTATGATTCTATGATTCTGTGAGTAGAAACTGTCATGATCAAGGAGAGAACACGTACCTGATTAAGAATTCTGGCTGCCTCTCGAGCCATATCCAGCTGTGGTGTATCTGTTAGAGTGTAATTTGACTTGACCTCATTCCATGCTTTGTGGTATTTAATCTAGAACAGAAAAAAAAAAAATTGTCACATCATCACAGCACATGGAAAACATAAAACCAAGACCTCTATTTTATGCATAAAATAATGTATAAAAACCTGAATTTTCAAGCCTATTAAATGTGATACATTCAGCACACATCTAAATGGATATATATTTTTAAAGGAAGATACACAAGGAAAGATTTTATAGAACTTCTCAGAGAATTTGAGAACTTGTTCCACTGCAGCTGGATGGACAGGGAAGTATCCTCAGCAGATGAAGCTGCACCAGTTTGTTTGGTCTACAAGGCTCCACCACAGCCAGCTGCCAAACTGCAGCAAGAAGTACTTGAACCAGGACAGATTTTGCAAGATCAGTTCTCTCTATCCAACATAAACTTTACATGAATGCAGAATCCTAGCATCTCCTAACCACTGCTGTATACACTGAGCCATGTTCCCAAGGACAGGACGTGACCAAACGCGTGCAACGAGCTTGAAGAGCAGCATGCTATTCAACTCAGCTTTGTCATTACCATCCTTTTACCACTGTTGGAATTAAGTGTTTAACTTCGCATGTTCTCTACCAGAAGCAAATTGAAAAAAGAAGCACAAATTCATGAACTGAGAGGGGGTCATGTCACTTCATCTTCACATGCCAGCTTCTCATAGACTTCAAAAACATATGAAGACTGGCAAGCTGACAGCACACCAATTTTTCTAATGATTGTTGTAGCACAGTAATTAACTGGACAGTTTAAGATTGCACTGACTTCACTGGGAAGGAGTAAGCATTACGGTTGCCACGGTACATGTGGTTACCTATGTTCAGTGTTGTCAATTGTCACCAAAGGTATCACTGCCATACACAGACCAAGTTTACAACCTGACAAGATGCCAGCAAACTTACATCACTAAGAATTTCACCACTTTTCTTCGCTGTGACATAATCAACTCTGTCTGTCACTGGAGTAAATCGAAGTGTTTCAGCTTTTGTACGATACTTTCTCTGTACAACAGAAAAGGTGAAAATACAGTCAGATTACAGTGGAATATTTTAGAGCTAACACACCCAATTCTGACCATACAGAGAACAAAACAAAGGTTACATTCTGTGAATACTGTGGAAATACTCCAGTTGTGTTTTTTGTAATAAAAATACATGAAATGCTGGTGTATTTAATCATTAAAAAATACTGAAAGTTACAACTACTCCTGAGGAAATCTTAAATCTTAATACTGAGAACTCTTAGTTACCTCATTCAATAGGTCTCCGGCATGTTTGACATGATTTATCCCAAGTGAATCATTTGGTAGCCATCCAATTCCTCGTAGCCATTCTAAATCAGATTTGTAAATAGCCTGAGAAAACAAAATAGAGTTTGTGCTGTTAGCCAGAGTTCCCTGTACAATCCAGCAAGATCCATACAGAATGGCATGCACTCCAGCTGGTTAAAAGGAGAACAGTAATTCTGATTTCATCTAAATTCATTAGCACTACATCTAAATTCACAAATTCATTAGCACTACATGTAACTTTAGTACTTTTCAAACTTAGTAGTATGTAACAGTGGCATACACTACGTATTCTAAATAACCAGCAAAGCCAATTCACTGCACTTAGCAAAACATTCCCACTGACTTCAGTTAGAGCTGAAGCAGACTAAGAAAAGACAACAGAGTAAGAAGTTAAACTAAGTTTGCATGTTAACTCACATCACTTTGAAGATCGTAGGCTTTCCTGGCATGTATCACATCATTCTGATCTGGAAGACAGATCCACTGATGCAAGTAATGACGGTAATCAATATCACTGACCAAAGACTGCCCATGTTTAGCTGACTGGATAGACAGCATATCAACGGGCAGATGGCACTGTGTCTTCCATTTGGCAAAGTGTTTCTTGTATTCTAGTTCACTCTGAACCTTGCCTATGCCAAGGGCAAACTCCATTTTTGTATCTGCTTTTGCATTTGGAACTCCAACATAATGTCCTTTCTGCTTCTCATGATCCAGTTTGTATTTATACTGGGTAAAGAGCAAAGTTCACCATTAATAACAGTTATGGAATACTTCTTAAAACATATGGAAAGCTAGATGCCTCTTTCTGCACTTACGTCACTAGCAATTTCTCTGGAAGCTTTGGCTGCTTTAATTGGGATTGCGTCTGCTCTCAAATCGTAACTCATCTTCACTTCATCCCAGGCTTCTCTATACAGTTTCTGAAAAGACAGTACAATGCCACACATAAGCTAGATTCCCTAGCATTTGTCATTAAAGAAACATGCACTACACTGTCATTTGTTTGCTGAAATGTGGTATTTTGGGGGAGCATCACTTCTGCTTCTAGCTATAAATACTGCTTGTCAGGACACACACAGTGTCTGTAACACACCACTGTTCCAACCTGTACAGCATAAAGGTGCTTGTAAAAGTTCTGAAAATATTTATAGCCTCTCTTCCATTTAATAAAGCACTGTCTCAGTGGTGCATTATATTAATCATTTCTGAACAGCTGTATGCAAGCATTTGTTTTAAACTGCCTAAATACTTCAAGAATGCTCAGTAGAGGGAAGGCAATGTTGTAAGCTGCATATAATGAAAGATTTCAAGAAGATTCATGCGACTTAACCTCCAACTTTTTAAGTAACATCTTAGAAAATTAAAATTCAGAGTTTACTGTTTTTTTAATGTAAATAGTAGAACAATAAACATACCTTGCTATAATTATGAGCATTAGACTTGGCTAGGTTGATTTCAGGTGTGTCTGGCATAATATGGATCATAGTCTTGTCCTTTTCCCAGGCTTCTTTGTATTTTGGCTGTCAAAATAATTCATTTTGCATTTAAAATATAAAACAGCACTTGTCAGTAATACAACATTCCATAAATCTCACATAAAATTATCATCTCCAAAAAATAAAACGTCTCGAAAAGCGTAAGGCAACTTAAAATACCACTGATCAACTTTACATTTTAACAGAGAGTTTTCTGTTTAACTGCTTATCACCTCCAAACAACGAAAGATTCAAGAACACTGTAACTTACAATACTGAGCTGTTCAGCATTCACTTTAGCTAGAAGAATGTCTGGAGAATCGACGACACTGGTGTACTTCACGCTGTCAATAGGTGTGCGATACACCTTGTCACTCAGGAGATCCTGGGCATGTTTCACTCTCTGAATACCTGGAGAATCATTAGGCAACCAGCCAATTCCACGGAGCCATTCTAGGTCTGACTTATAAATAGCCTATGTTGAAAAATGGTCAGAAGAAAAAAAAAATTGTGTTTAAAATGACAGTCGTCGTTATTTTAGACTAAAAGCAGGATATGTCTTAGGAAATTGCCAGTCAGCTTATACACACACAAGAGATATTCAGAGTAATAAGTAAGCCTGGGAAGAAAATTTAAGTAAGCTAGTAAATTAAGCAGTATATTCAAAGACAAATGAATATAAGAAGTGGAGAAGCAAGTGAATAGAATGGATGTTAAGGACGGTAAGAAGTCTTTCTGTTCTTTCCAAAATAGGCATTCCTCTAGGTGTTACAACAATTTAAGGGTCCAAATAAGAAAATATGTGGCCCCTCGTGAAAGATGGCAAAAATACATTAAGAAAAAAAAAAAAAAAGAAAAAGGAATGGAGATACTGAGGAGTAGAGCTAATCACACAGGAGTAGAGCTACTAATTCAGCAGATCTCCTGACGTGGCAGCAGACAACAACGTTGTCTTCAATTGACCAAATTCTTCAACAAGGAACATGAATCTCACCACTGAAGCTCAAGTGAAATAGAGGAAGAGACACTGCTGTCTGATTAAGTTGTAAAACCAAACCACAAAAGCAGCTGTATTTACTCCTTTTGCTTTGAAATCACTAGAATATCTTAGCTGCAATCTGACATAGTGTTCATGACAAAAAATAAATTTTCAAGTAGATTCACATAAACAAAAACAATAAAATCACTAGATAAAAAGCAAAAAACACTTGTTATCCAAGAAGTACTCAGAACAGCAGATTCATCATCACCTCCAAATTACATACTCAAAAAGAATGTAACATACAGCAGATACAAATTAAGTCCTGTGAAAGTTTACAGATAATACCAAGAATGAGTAAGATGAGACCATAGGAGAAACTGTTCTAAAGATCAAACGTCTGACTAAGCTAAAATGAAATAATAAGATTAGTATACACCAGATCTTCATGCATACGTACATCACTCTGTAGGTCGTAGGCTTTCCTCGCGTGCACCACATCGTTGTGGTCAGGCAGACACGTCCACTGGTGAAGGTAATGGCGGTAGTCAACATCACTGACAAGTGTCTGGCACTCCTTGGCTGCCTGCAGTGACATCGCATCCACCGGCAGGTGGATGTGGGTCTTGGAGTCGTTGTACGCCTTCCTGTAAATGCGGTCGTTCTGCAGCAGCATGGCTCGTGCAGCCCACGACAGCTTGGGATCCTCCTTGGCGGTTCGGCACCCAATGTAGTGCCCTTTCTGCTTCTCGTGAGCTTCCTTGTACTTGTACTAAGACAAGTAAAAACAACATCAGCAGCCACACAACTTCTCGCCTGAACACCACCCACATAAAGGACCTCCCCGGGCTGCCACTCCTGTGACACAGCTCCCTGAGGCACCGCCTCAGCACCAACAAAGCTCCCATCCACACAGACAACATTCTCCAGCACCCAAAACACGTGTCCACAGAGCACCACGGTTTCTCAAAAATACATCTGCCTTCTCTTCGTGCGTGGAAGCAATGAAAAACATACTGACATAGACGCCTTGCTCTGCAAGACTGCCCCAAGCACCAGCCTCACTGCACACCCTTATGGAGAAAGCATTTGATAGGGGGGATTACAGGAACTGCAGGTATTCAGCAGCAGCCACAGCCCTGGCACTGCCAAAATCAGGTTCACGTCCAATCTTCGTGGTGGGAAACTAGCACTTTGTTACCTGGCACTCCTAGCACTCCAACAAGCTTATCACACTGTATCCTAAGAACGGACCACTAACTCACAGGCAGCTTCAAGCTGCAGAAAGAGAGAAGCACTCAGGACAGCCCTTAAAATAACAAAGGGACACAAACTCATGCTCTGCTTCTACCTCAGATGCACTTCACTCAGTTCCATCAAGCGGGGCAAAGGAAGACACAACACAGGACAACCACGTTCACAGGAGGCCGTACCTCACTAGCAATGTCTCTGGAAGCCTTGGCATGTTTGATGGGAATGGCGTCAGCTCTCAGGTCATAGTTCTTCGCTTTGGCCTCATCCCAGGCCGCCTGATAATGTTTCTGCAAAGTAAATTGATCAACCATGTTACATCCAGCCAGGACTCTGGCCTTGACGTGGTCATACACACACATACAACTGGAGAAGAGTTACTGGAGACAAAACATCTGCTCTCCTGATTAAACAAATCCACGCCCTCCTGACTTGTCACTCCTCCTACACCTGCCAGAGACTTCCTTCTTTTCTGGTCTTTTTCTGGACCAATAAAGAATGTGCCTGTTGGCAGTGAGTCTTAGTCCATACACCAGACTGAACAGAAATTGAAGTGTCTCCATGTGCTGCTAAAGACCCATGCCATCTAGGAAATCAAGCACAAAAACACTAGGGCTCCTCCTTTAATGTCAAGTTGGCCCTCAAATGTTTGGTCAGTCCACCCGAACTTGATGTCACTAGAGGGGCTCAGTAAATAACGTGGTTTTAAATTCTCTGATGGCTGTGGAAGAAGAGAAAGTCAATTATATCACAAGTCAGACCACAAGGAACTCTGTAATCAAAGCAAGGGCAAGGTAAAAAATAAAAAATAGAAAATAAATTAAAAAAAAGGATATTGAAATGTCTACTGCAGCAACATTTGAAACATTTGAGTTCTAATTCAATCACATCCACTACTTCTGAACAGTCTTTAACTTGATGTTCAATACCAAGAACATCTAGGAATGAATGCAGATTCCAGCCAAAATATTTCCTGCCCCCTTCATGCTGAAGACACAAAACAGGAAACTGCTTTCAGCCTTATAAAATCTCCAGTGCTAGTCCTAGTCCCACAAAAATAGTGGGTGAAGCAACACACAGCTGCAAAATATGTCAGGGGTGATGAGTCTACAGACTACTTCAACAGCTCCACAAAAAATCATTGCCAGTTTTTATCAAAGGGAGAAGTCTTCTGTAATTATGCCCTGAAGTTCTAACTTTGCTCACAAACACATGCCCATCAGACAAGGCAGCTGACTCCTTGCTCAATAGATTCAGGAACACTTATAGTTTAAGACAAAATGCATGAGTGTTGGCATGTTCCACAGAGGCAATTTCATCATTTTTATATTCACAAAGACTTTGTGAGGACACAACAGCATGGAGTCTAGATCAGCACCCTTGCTGATTCCTTGCTTGACAAATGTCAGGTTCAATAACAACCCATGTGCAGCATTAATTACACTCTGCATAGGGCTGCCTAGATGTAATCTACAGTTTACCATACTAACACAGTGGAAATAGCAGTAGTATGTGCCACTCTTTATGGCAAAAGCTAAAAGAAGGCAGAAGTCAGGTGAAAATCTCTACGAGCAGCTGCACACTCTGAAGTGAACTTTTCACACACATCTCTTTTCACTCACTTACATTGCTGATGTTCAGAGCGTTGAGTTTTGACTGCAGCATCTCAGGAGTGTCAGAAGGTATGGAAATCTGTGTCTTGTCCTTGTCCCAGGCCTCGCGGTACAGACGCTAAGGGGAAAGGAAGCAAAATGACATTTCACTATGGCCTGAACAGTGAAAAATACAACAACACTTGTGGGAATTACTTCACAACATCGATTTTAAATTAGCTGTTATCATGTTAGAAACTGAACTCTCCAACACGAGGAAATGTCAACATACGGTGTAAGATATAGAAAACAAAAGCTTACATTACTGAGTTGCAAAGCATTGATCTTAGCCTGGACAACATCTGGTGAATCAGTGATGCTGGTGAATTTTATCTGGTCCGGCTGCGTGCGGTACAGCTTGTCACTCAGGATTTCCTGGGCTTTCTTGGCTTTGACCACATCCACAGAACCTTCTGTCAGCCAGCCAATACCTCGCAACCACTCCAGGTCTGATTTGTACACATTCTGCAAATAAACCAAGGGTTACTGCCATTGCAGAGACAACTCTGAGTACAGAGAGCTTATGTACATACAAGGCTTTCCCCAAACTTCTTCTCCAAAAGTTTTACACAAAGTACTAATCGCTGAGCCGGCAGCCTACCAAAACCATTAAGTAAAAAACTATCACATCTTTTGTATTGCAACAAAATTAAACATCCTTTAAAATAAATCCTACATGCAAAAGAGACATGATCTGCAGGTAAACATTGTTCAGTAGACAAAAACACTTCAGTAACACACACTACATGCTGATATGAACTGCCTAATACACTCATGGCTAAGATGTAAATAATGTTGAAATTATCATATACACGAATTACAAAACCATGTGAGCACAGACTTCAAATTCATGACAAGAGCCTTGAGATAATGCATGAAGAGTGACAAGAAGAGGCTCACGCAACTTTCTCAAAGCTTTCCTACAATTACTCCCACTCACATCACTCTGTAGGTCGTAGGCTTTCCTCGCGTGCATCACATCATTCTGGTCAGGCAGACACGTCCACTGGTGAAGGTAATGGCGGTAGTCAACATCACTGACAAGTGTCTGGCACTCCTTGGCTGCCTGCAGTGACATCGCATCCACCGGCAGGTGGATGTGGGTCTTGGAGTCGTTGTACGCCTTCCTGTAAATGCGGTCGTTCTGCAGCAGCATGGCTCGTGCAGCCCACGACAGCTTGGGATCCTCCTTGGCGGTTCGGCACCCAATGTAGTGCCCTTTCTGCTTCTCGTGAGCTTCCTTGTACTTGTACTAAGGAATTGTAAAAGGAGGATAATAAGATATTGATCATGTTTTGGCCATGAATGATTTTTTTTAAATGTACTAGATAGATAGATATTATACTTATTCATAGTTTAGAAACATATGCTTTCTTGTTGCATACTTCTTACTCAATTCACAGTCACTTACGATTTCCTAATATCTGTTCAGTATCAGGAATTGCAGTGCAATTTTTCTTTTGAAATTGATATCCATTGTCTTTCTGCTTTGAATTCTATGCTAGTAAGCTTTTTCATGAACAGAATATAGCATACTTTTTTTAGTGTCTCATGTAACTTTCCACTGATTCCTATTTCACAAATGAACAATATACATAAAGGAAGTACATACATCACTCGCAATATCTCTCGATGCCTTTGCACTTCGAATTGGAATTGCATCAGCTCTCATGTCATAACCCTTCTTTTTGGCCTCTTCCCAGGCTTGTATATAATGTTTCTACATAAAAGAAGACAGAAAACAGCTTCTGAGTATTCATAAGGGTGGAACTTTTACATCTCATATTCTCTCCCAAAACTTTAGTGGAAATGTGTTTTATAAAATCATTACGGTGAAAGAAATGCTTACTTAATTTCCCTCTTTCCATTAAGGTATTATATGTTTAAATATTCTTACATGGCTAACATTCTCTGCGTTGGCCTTGGCTAATAAAATGGTTGGAGTGTCAGGCATGACGTGAATCGACGTTTTGTCTGCATCCCAGGCTTCTGTATATAAACGCTACAGGAGAGAGAAAGAGATTCTTTTAAGCAGCTTAACTATGTAATGATGGCAGGACTGCAAGCTAGATACTGGCATTCACCAAAAATATATCTATTTATGATATAAAAGAAATGAAGTCTTGACGGAGAGCAAGGTATATATACAACCAAACTAATATATTTGTCCAAAGAAAGTATTTTACAAACTTTCACATGGTTCAAGTAGGCTTTAATATCCTGATACAGTAAAGGTTCTCATAGAACTGCTTAAGTAGGAAACTTCATTCTTCCTCCATTTCTTTGGGTAAACTGGAGCAGCAAATTATTGACTTAAGGTTGCTAGGAAAACACTGTGTACTCTTCTTCTTCTGTATTTTTCACCTGATCAGCAAGGTCCTTCAACTAGCAACACCAGTTGCAGTAACACACAAACCCACCTTGTTCATTATCTCAGCATTATGCTTGGCTAACATCATAGCCAAAGAATCTGTCACGCTAGTAAATTTGATTTGGTCGGCTGGTTGACGATACTTCCTCTCGCTCAGGATTTCTCCAGCTTTCTTAGCCTTCTCAACATCCAAAGAGCCAATAGGAACCCATCCAATTCCTCTCAGCCATTCCAAGTCGGATTTATAAACAGCCTGAAAATTTTTGAAAGTACATCATACATAATTATTTTAATGTTGTACTTGCATATATAAGTAATTGTATCTTATACCACACTAGGAATTTTATATATTCCTGCAAATTAGCAGCACGTGGTTTTTAAACCAACTTAAAGTTTTGAACAAAATATTGAATCTTTAAATAACAAGAAGGGAGTTATTGAAGATCTCTACACATGCCAGAGTTAGGAAGAAAGTCTATCTCAGGTTAAAGACAGAGAAAACAGAATTAAATGTAATGATGACAGCGTATTAAATGCTTTGCTATGAAGAACACATGCGATTCAAGTGACTAAGGCACATTTTATACAAAGTATTAGGTACAAAACCCAGCATATTTAATTATGTATTACAAATTCAGCAATTTACTCACATCACTCTGCAGATCATAGGCCTTCTTAGCATGGATAACATCGTTCTGGTCCGGCAGACAGGTCCACCGATGCAGAAGATGCTTGTAGTCAACATCGCTGACCAGCTCCTGGCATTTCTTGGCCAACACAATTCCCAGCATGTCCACAGGGCTGCTGAAGTGCGTCTTGGTCTTCTCAAAGGCTTTCTTGTACTCCCTGTCACTCTGGATCTTGGCTACGTGCATCGACCACATCATCTTGGGGTCGTCCTCGATGTTGCGCGCTCCAATGTGGTGGCCCAGCTGCTTGCGGTACCCTTCTTTATACTTGTACTGAAATAAAGTATGTTCGTATTTTATATGGTACACTTATCAATTAATAAATGATACACAGAGATTAAGATATTTTTTAACATAATTACTAATATTTTTATGCAACTCAGACCTCCCTACTATTTCATGAACTTTGACATAAGTTGTTTTTTTCGGTTTTTTTTTTTTAATACAGCTATCTGTCCTGATTTCACCTGGGAGAGAGGTAATATTCTTCATAGTTAAGCCACAACATTGTAAGACATACACAATTAATATTTAGTGTCACATCCTAGCTAGTAAGTCTGATATTCTACATTGGTTTGATGTTAAGACTGGAATGTAATAATTAACTTATCGTTTATCATGGGACACCATGATGAAGACAGTTTGAGGTGGTCTTTACACTGTTTAATTATCAATCTTGGTGGAAAAACAAGTAACATATAAGTATTATCCTCTGTTCTAGAGATGTTTCCTCATCAGGAAACAGCATATTTTTTAACACTGTTTTTGTGTTCAGACATTTTAAATTTCAGTACAACATTCCAACAGAATTATTTTTTTCCCCAGAAAACGACAAAAATTTATAAGTTTTAGCATTAGTTTTCTAACATATATATATATACCTGGGTAGAAATTTCACAGTATTTCCTAGTTTGAAACAGAAATGAATTTGGTTAACTACACCATCCTACTTTAGCATCCATGAGCATGCAATAGAACTACCTTGCAAATGCCCTTTGCATTATTTTGCCTATTGATTGCTATTATGTCTTTCTTACGCATAAAAATACAGACTGTCCATTCCTTCTATGCACTACAGCACACAGTAGAATTACAGAATTTCAGTATTATCTATTCTGCACTCAAGATATTGATATAATAGATATCAAGATATAATAACCAAGGGAACAGTCATTTCAATTCTTTTGCTTTAACAAATCCATAAAGCCATGAGAAAAAAAAAACAAAAAATGCTTACATCACTGGCAATCTCTCTGGATGCTTTGGCAGCTTGGATAGGAATGGCATCAAAACGCAAGTCATGACCCTTCTTCTTTGATTCCTCCAAAGCCAGTCTGTACATTTTCTGTAAAAAATAAAATAAAATAAAATAAAATAAATTAAAAAATGGTTTTATAATCAGAAAATTTACACACTTCAGTTAAACACACTTGTGTAAAAAAAAAAAAAAAAGCAAATTATGATCTTTAATGATATTGTTAATGTTCAGATAGCTTGAATATCTCAACACTGCTCTATCTTCATTTTCTGATTTCGTAGCAGACATTTGGAAAGTAGAAGTCATCCAGGGAAGGGAAAGAAAGAAATACTTTAAAACTTAAATAATTTATTTCCATGCTCCGCTATAAAACTGATCACTAGTTCATGGCAGAAAAAATATTTTAGAAGAACATCAGATGCCTAGGAGATAGATTCTAGTAAAAGAACGACTCAGAAGTGAATAACATAGCTGGCCACTTATGAAATCAAACAACTTGACAACAGTATAATATAAAGTGAAATTCAGAGGTAAATAAATTGAACTTTCTCAGCTCTTCAGATTTACTCACCTGACTGTAGTGTACTTGGTTTTGTTTAGCTAGTACGATTTCTGGTGTGTCAGGCATGACGTGAACTGTGGTCTTATCTTTATTCCACGCTTCAGTGTATAAACGCTAAGAATACAGGAAAAAGATTAATGTTGCACTGCAGTACAAGGTCAATTTTCATTAATTAGCTAAAATATAATACTAGGTAAAATTAAAGGAAAGAGCAAAAATAAATGCTTACACATTTAATCAGAGTTAGATACCAAATTCTCCCCGTAAAGAGAATTTAACTGAGGAAATTCAGTGTAGAAACATAGAATCACAGAAACAGAGTGGCTAAAAGCAGACAGGACCCCCAAAAGTCATCTGTTCCAACTCCCTGCTCAAATAGAGGCATCTAGAGCCTACAGAACAGCAAGCTTAATTAAGAATAATGAAGAAAGCAAAGTGTTCTGACTGCTCACCACACAGACCACATAAGAGAAAAGATTTAAGTGTAATATGTTGAAAATCTCAAGGTAAACCTTTTGTTACATGGCTATTAGTTTTGAGAGAAATACACAGAACACAGTATTTGAAACAAACTTTATAA